CATAGTATCCCATACCGCCGACCTATAATGCCACACATGGCGGTAGTCTACAGATCGTACCTGCAATGAGCAAGTGATGGACACTGTACTCCGAATCAGTAATCTGAAGAGCCTAAAAGGGCATCGACGGAGACCTGACAGCCGTCCGGATGAGAGTTCAGCAGAAGGTCCAACAGGGAAGGTGTATGATCCTCCATATCTGGAATCTGCGTGGGCAAAGTAACCAGTTGTGTCAGACCATATGCCAAGGCAAAGCCGTAAACAGATCTTCTCAGAGAGAACCGAGGCATTCGGTGTGTTGGGCGTTGAAACTTGTGCGTTTACTGTATGAAACTCTGTATTTAATTTTCGCTATACAAAATAATCGGCTACCGAATGTCATTTGCCCCCTTGGGCCCCTTTTTACGCGGGGCCCGTAGCAATTGCTACTCTCGCTACGTGGTTAATCCGGCACTGTCAGTAACGCTTGGAATCATCACTAATACTTTTTTAACCAAGTAACTGAAAATGTTTTCCATTAGGAGTGGTTCTTGTCAATATGTGGTGTAATTCTAAACCACGAGTTTTCCGAGTTTCCGGTCTGCGTGCTAAACCGTTTGACCAATCAACCTTTTTTTTAAAAGAATGAGGTGACAAGTGATCACGCAGTTCACATGATGGTAAGTGGATGCTACAGCCCATAGACATCTACATATATTCTTGATTAAGAATCAAAATGCATATGAGTTGTCACCCTTGAGGACTAACATTAAGTGCTTCGTTACCAGTAAAAAGGGTTTCTAAGTTAATCTTTACAATAATGGTTATAAAATAGATGATCATTATAATAACAATAAAATATAGTTATTTAATATGAATTTTGCCGCTTTATTAAATAACACTAGTTATACTATCTACTTATTTTAGGCCGAGTGGAAACTTTTTTCACTGCACTACTATCCGATTATGTAACTTAACTATACTATATGTTAAAATATAACTAAAAAAACTACAAAGTAATAAAAATGTTTATTAGAATAAATAAAACATAACCTATAAATAAAATTGTAAATAAAAAGAAATAAAGGTATAAAATACAAGCACACTTAAAAACGACGACGGTTACAGCATGTTATTTTATTGCCTAATATTTCTTAAATTTATTACTTATTAACTATTATTATATTTTTAGTAATACATTTCTCTCACTCATACAAAAATATTTTTATTTCGAATCAGCCTGTATAAAAGGTATGTTTGTTATTCACTTATTCGCGCATAGCTTTGCAACATCTAGATCGATTTTGACAAAAAAGTATAATTTCATTAATCGTATCATCACAGGCCGCATGTTATAGACGTACATTACACACTCATGCAGGCTGTCAGTTTTACAACAATCACGGTTGTGATTGACGAATAACCTACCGTGTAATGCAGTGATTGACGCCTGCATGAGCGCGCAATGTACGCCTATCAGTCACCATCCGTTTTATATCAATCATGATTAATGGAATTGATGGACGCCTACATGTAATATACCCCTAAGAATATAATATGTAGCCTAATCCAATATGGCGGAAACTAAAAGAAATATTGTTTAAAATCGTCACAAGTCAAATACGCGTTTGACTTAGACACACATATTATTGTACTGTATCATTATAATTTATTAACTTTTAGATTATGAGATTATAATTACGAATTTTGCTACGAAATTAGACAATGATGTGAGAAAAAACTGCTCACAATTGGAGGGAGCCCTATATACAGGCTGCTTCTTTCAATCTACTAATATTACACTTATTACTAAATCCAGTTTACAATTCACATTTGTCAAGGCAAGTGATTAGCTAAATAATCTACAATTAAATTTACTTTTCGTTCACAATGATATTATATATTAAAATATGTAGGGTTACATACGTCACATACATTTATATCTTTAAAATACATATATAAATATAATCTCTCTGTGATATGATTGGATGACTGTTCATAACGTGTGTAACTATATTTTATTTGTGACATTTCATTTTTTTGTGTAATTCTGTTAAAAAAGACGGTTCCCGAGAGATTTCTAATTTCTTCCGTCACATCTATGAGTATTGCAAATATAAATTTGACATGGCAAACAATCAAGATTCGGAGTTTTTACATGAAGTCTACACAAATATATAAAATTCAAAATAAGTGCCCAGCAGTGGGCGTACCATAGTTTCGCACCGATCCGGCTTAAGAGTAATAAGCAAGTACTCATGGGTAGGGGTCGCAAACCGGGATCCCGAATCTCGAAAATACCGGGATACCGGACTGAAACGAAAGTTTTAAAATACCAGAATTGAGTGAACGGAAACCGGTATTTACGTTTTTTCGGTATTTCATTACAAATCATTGTTAAATAATATTATGTCAAAAAATTAAATAGCCCACGCTTTTCGCGTGGTGGATGCTATGGCAACGCGGCTCGACTGCAACGCAAGTCGCACGACTACACTGGAGTGAGTGAGAGAGAGTACTTACTCCCGAGTCCTGAGCCGACGACGAATCCGCCCGCTCGCCTATACAACTAATGACGGTGCTATAATGTAATGATCGCATTTCGAAGTGAAGCAGCACTTTTCCATCAGCGATGCCTTGCTCATGGTATACAGTTAGCGATATTAAACGTGCTCTATAAAAAAGAAAACAGTTCCCAAACTCAAGTAAGAGAACTGGAAGATCATGATTCTTATGACTTTGCTTTGGAATGATATGGAGAAGATTACTATGACGAGGGAATGACTACGTATTACCATCTTCTTGGGATTCTAATAATTACAATATTAAATCCCAAAACAAGCATACAATTGCTAGACTTCAAGATACGCCCATTCTGCGTACATCGGACCAAAAACAAATAATTGTTAACTGAAGGTAGCCGTGTTAAACTATGACACTGCGACGGGAATATGAAATAAGTTAAAATACGCAATAAAATTCGTAAAATTTAGTTTAATTTAAACTTCTTCATTTCATTTAAAAGTAAATTTATAAAATTCTTTGCTATTGAATTTAACCTATGTACCAGATTTTCTTCTTCTCTAGAGAAATCGCTTTTGGAACCGGTGGTAGATTTTAACGTTTATAGAAGTTTTAGATGATCGTAAACTGAAGAATATAAATGAATTTTTTTAATTACACCATACAGCAAAGAAAAAAAGGCAAATCGCCCAAGTGCATTTCATGTTTTATTAAAGCTGAAGATAATGAATAAGTTTATAAGAACATGAAGAAGTAAGCCTATGAAGAAGTTACTTAGCACGAGTATTTTATGTTATTAACTTAGTAGCAGTGAGTTATTTATTAAACTTTAAATAAATGATTGATTTTATAAAAATAAATGTGATTTTCTTATCATATCACACTTCTACTGGTTGGCTGGTGACAATTCCCTTATGAAAATTACGGTTACATTACATATTTTTAAATATTTATCTCACTATGTTATAAAAACAAAAATACCGAAACTACCGAAATTTCGGTATTCATTAAAAACTAATACCGAAAACACCGGTTTTTGAAAAGCGGTCCGGTATTGCGACCCCTACTCATGGGTCATGCTTGAACTCAAAACGAGTGCTCAACAATGTTGTTTGTCCAAGTTCAATTTATAATAGACATTCAAGTTGTGACGGTAACGTTTCTCACAAAAACAAAAAATATATAACTATTTTACTTTATACTGCGTGACAGTTATTAAAAATGTAAACAAACCACATTATGAACAGACCACATATATCACGTTTACCTAACATTATAAACTATAAAGCACAATACATGGCACTTGCTTTCATAATCACACTCAATTACTCCACCTTCCTTTAAATAATCTTTCGTTGTCAAATACTAAAACAACCTGTATATGACCAAAATCAAAATGATGTAATTATAATATTATGCTATATTAGATTTCAGACCATAATATCCCATCATAAAGTTTATTTTCAATCGTCTTAGTTTTCTTATAGAACATAAAATAATAATTCAAGGGAGAAAAACGAACACAGTCTAATTGATGGTAAGTTGAACCCATACATGAACCAACCAAGGGTTGAACCAACCCATGGGTTACGTCTACCTCCATCCTCGATTAAAAAATCAAAATGCGTTCGTTGTCACCACTGAGGACTAAGACGGAATGCCACGTTTCCAGTAAAAAATTACTTTAACCCTCTTACGGCCGAATAAGTGGCTATGCAATATGAAAAAAGTCTAGACGTTTAGACAGAGGGGGAAAAAATATATAGAAAATTAAAATTTTATTCCAATCTTAGAATATTTCGTTCTGTATTAGTCTTTTTTTTATTTAACTTAAGTGTTAATTATCTCTATATCTCTCTGTCTAACGTCATTTAGTGAAAAAGAGACATCAATTTTTATATTATGGTCGATTGTTATGAGTAAGACAGTCAATGCTTTATTCCGTTAAATCTTGACAAATATTTGGTCAAATACAGTTTGTTCATACTACCCACGATTATTGCAATACAATTTTGTTACATATTATATAAAAATACATTATAAAGAGCATAGCATTCATTTGTCAGTTATTATAAGCTACATAATATCGCTGTCATACAACTTTATAATTTATATTAAATGAAATTAGAGTTCAGATTCCTATAGAGGTTTTTTTTAAATACATTTGCAAGCTACGCTTAATAGAAATCTACAAATGAACTTACTACCCTACTTGGTTTGTTAACTTTTTAGTACCTGTGAAACATTAAGGGCTCCAAAAGTAAGATAAATTGATTTGTTTTTTTTTTCTTAAATATTATTTAAAAAATCATATTTGCTTTAATAACTTTTTTAAAATTTAATTCGTCGAGGCAATCATTTTACTTTTTTTCTAAAGATACCACTATGAAAGCTCGATTATTATTAAAATGAAATTCAGTTATAACATTACGTGAAATCCAACTCCGAAATGTGTTTTCAACCAATACAAGCCCGGCTGTACCGTGTCGGAGGCCGCTCTAGATCTGGTACCAGGGAGAGCGACGAACCCAACGCAGCCTGTAGCCACCTTGCTCCGTGCGGATTTTTATCGACGCGCCTTCCGCTGCCTTCACAGTTTCCTTCACCTGTCGAAAAAGTCAGATGCAAAAATTACTTATATGATTCGTTCGAGCGATTGTGTAACTCTGGTGAAAATCGTTTGCCAGTGGGAATCACTTTGAAATTCCGTTAGGTTAAACTTTTTAAAGTATAAAGGTGACAAACGGGCACACAGTCTACCTGATGGTAAGTGGATACTGTGGCCCATAGATATCTACATATATTTTCAATTAAAAATAAAAAGGCGGATACGATGTTACCCCTTAAGACTGAGATAGAATGCCTCGTTTCCAGTAAAAAGGGTCTCCAGTTCTCTACACTCACCATACGAAACACAGCAGCATTAAGCTGCTATTTTACGCTGGTATTCTGTGAGAGCGTGGTCCTACCCTGTCGAGCCGACCGATTCGTGCCATAACAATGATATTTTTCTATTTCCCTCTCCATTACTCGTATTAAAATTAAATAAAAATTGTATAGACTTACACTCTGCATGAGGTTCTGCGCGTTTCCAACAAGCATCTCCGTCGCCTCTTGATCCTCTTCGCTTCCTGAAAACAAAATCATTTTTAACTTTTCGTAGTAATAAAAGTAATTATTAAAAAAAATGATGCAAAACAGAAGTTTGCACCCAATGAGTTGTATAACATTAGATCCCCTTTCCGAAGGTATTCCCGCCTTGTCATGGGTTATAAAAATCTTCATCAGGGAAATGGTCAGGCAGGGGTCCCTCTCACAATAAAGAATCGAAACAAGAGACTGCCGTCATTGTAATGCTGGGCTCACTAGCGATTGCCGTCCTACATCTGACGTTGTTCCTCTCGCACCAGTCATTCTGGACCTTCCCGTAATCACCTTTTTACGAGGCCCACGCGATGAGATAGGATAATAGATTCTGATACGCCTCCACCACAATGCAAAAACAAAACGCAATACTTGCTAGTAGAATAAATTATTTTTAGAGGTAACTAATCACAAGTTCATTTAAAATTTAGAATAAATTTAATAGAATTGAGACAATAAAAGCAAATAATGTATCTAATTAAAGGAACCCCACATATTTCGAAACGGCCGCACTTAAGCACGAGCTTTATAGCAGCTATTGTCATACCTTTGTAGTCCGGCATGCCGACTGTCAAAAAATTAAAACGCATCAAAAGCATAGAAAAATCAAAAGCAAGCGTTATATAAATAAGTATGTGTACATCAAATGAAACTAATTTTACGGATTACGGCATCTAGTTTACGGATACGGCATCTAGTTTAATTAACGCTATTTAATTTCTCACGTTTTGGATACTTTACAGCACCCATAATCAAGGGGATAAGTTCAGGGTGATACTGAGGTGTTTGACATCCTAATGTCATAGTTAACGAAGGCTACTTATAATTTTAAACTATTAATATTTAGCTCGTTCAGTGTAGAACATGGAGGTCAGAGAACAGGAGAACGATCGCCGTAGAAAATAGTGTCCCAGAAATATAGACACCATTAGTGAGGCGCTGCGATCGATAAATGCGCTCAATAAAAGTCATTTTCAGCCTATTTTTCCTATCAGATGCTAAACCACTTGCACATCCACGCACGATAAAATATTTCTCCATTTTTTATGTTTCTTTTTGTCTAAAATTAAAAAATAATGGAGCATGGAGGTTCTCTAACCTCCATGGTGTAGAACGTCAGGAATTAAAAAAATAAAATTAAAAGCGATAAAATCCGTAAAATTAGTTTCATTTTCTTGTAAATATAAGAAATCATTAAGTACCTATTTACACTTTATCAACCATATAACCGCCAAAAGGCACAAGCTCCTCGACACAGCTAAATTTTTAAAGCACAATCGAATATACTTATGACGATTGATTACGACAAATTCCATCGTGTTCAGATTATATATAAACTTTAATATTAATTAATAATAGACCAATAAAGATCTAAAATTTTACATAAATATTACTAAAAAATTGCTTCACCCACCTTGAGCTCCAAGCATGGTAGCTTTGACCGTCGACAGGATCTTAAGCTGAGTGCCGATGGTCGGAATTCTTTCGCAAACTTGAAGCAGGTTCTGTAAAAGAGAAAGTACGAATAATATGAGATATCCCAACTCTTACATATTTATAATAAGCAATTTGCTACATCGATAAAACGAGAAAACTAGAAATCTTTGTGATGTTTTCATAAATAATTTTAACATTATAATGATGATTTCAATTTAATTCATGTTCGTCATCATCATCGTCATAGCCAAAGACATTTAAGTAGTACGAGGGCGGCACTAAAAATTTCGGGAATCAAGGAAGTGACACAACATTACTATTTAAAAATGTATTTATTGCTTTTCGAAGTATTCTCCGCGAAATTTGACACATTTTGCATACGATGGAACCAATCAATGAAGCAAGCATTCCATTCGGAAGTTGGGGTCTCCAAAATGGCCGTTTTTTAGGCGTCCACAGCTTCTTCAGGTGATGAAAATCTCTGTCCACGCAATTTATTCTTTATTTTAGGGAAAGTATAGAAATCACTAGGGCTTAGGTCGGGGCTGTACGGCGGATGATCTAATAATTCCATGTTTTCTAACTCTAAAAACTCTTTTGTTCTGTGTGCGGTGTGAGAACGCATTGTTGTGATGGAGGATGATGCGGCGGTTGCAGTTCCCTATACGGAGTTCAGAAACGACCTGTGGCAAACAAATGCTAGCATACCATTCTGCATTAACCGTTCTTTGTCCCTCAAGAGGAATAGTCGTAACATGACCGGTTTTGAAGACAACGTGGCCACCATTTTTTTCACATTTGCAACACTCCGTGAACGAACAATTTTTGTTGGCTTTAACTCATTTTCGAACACCCAAACTCGTTACTGGTTTTTGGGTTTTTGGTTTCGGGTTCTTACGCGTATATTCAGGATTCGTCACCTGACATGATGTAGTATAAAGCATTTGAGGATCCTGCATGGAATCTTTCGAGAGTTCTGACGCACCAAGTCACACGAGCCGCTTTTTGCTCTTCACAGAGTGAATGCGGTATCCATCGGGAAAACAACTTTTTTGCACCTAATTGTTCACGCAAGATTATTTGTATTTGACTCATGCCAATGTCTAAAGTTGCCTGAATTTCGCGGTATGTCACATGTCGATCTTCCTCAATCAGCTTACGCACAGCATCAACGTTTTCTTGGGTGACTGCAGTTTTTGGACGACATTTACAGGGATCATCACTGAGCTTGACACGTCCACGTTGAAATTCAGCAAACCAGCGATAAATTGTGGTTTTGGATGGGGCTTCATTACCAAATGCAGAAATCATCCGGTCAACACACTGTTTTTGTGTTAAACCACTTCGAAAGTCATAATAAATCATCGCTCTTGAATTTTCTCGAGTCAATTCCATTTTCTCAACGACTAAACAAGTTTGACAAAACCTCGTGACAAGACCGAGAATCTTTTTTTAAATAAATAACTGGTATTCGATTTTCAAAACCAAGGAGTTTTCAATTAAAAAGATTTTAATATGACAGGAACAGTGGAAATATCCCATTCCCGATACTTTTAGTGCAGCCTAGGTAATAGACCGGACCGTAATAGACCGAACCGTAATAGACCGGACATCAGCAACAAAATTGTCGTCTGTAACTTTCGTCCTATAGGATATATCTCCGACTTTTGTCGTTTAGCCTTAGTGACATCGTCAAAAGGTCAAGACGCATTTGTTTCATAAATTAAAAAAATATATATATTTTTAAAGAAAATATGCCCGGTTGTGCATTAAGTTATTGTAAGTCACGATATGGAGCAAAAAATTAACGTCATTTCGGTTTATTATCGTAAGAATAATGTATATTTACCAAATAATCTTTAAATTTTATTATTTCTTGATTGTTCAAGAACATTTATTATTATTGTAATAAGCGCCATCTGTTATACAGTAACATTACTATTCATTTACAAATATATTATTGATTGACGACGTGCCTAAAACGGATTTTTACCTATTTAGTAGCGCCACCTAATGGGAAATAGCTAAAATTTTTTCTAAGTAAATATTCAGCGTAGTATTGCTATGTGTGCTATCGCTAGAGGGCGTAACACACGTGCAGGCTCAGTTTTTGTATGAAAATTTTCCTAATGTTCGCTCATCACAGCATTCCTGGGGGATGTCTATGTTCATATTGAAAATAATATAGAACGTAGATGTCCCTCAAAGGATTCCACAAAGCATGACCCTGAGCCACCACAACCATCGATTTGCTATTAACTACATCTATTACCAGATCGTCACTCCATCTAGTGGGGGCCCACCCTCGATTATTACCCAGATATTAAATATTTTAAGTCGAAAAAGTATATCGTAGTGCAATTGTGTCTCTCTTGTTTTGTCACAAATTTCCATCCAAACCCAAATTTTCTCACTTAATATGGTCCGAGAAGCTCGTTGGTCTTTGAACTCTTGACTACCCTCGCGGGGATTACGAGCGTAAAGCTATTTGTGTGTGCAAGTAAACTATTGTTGTATATATAATACTATGTTTTTATACGTATATTATATACTTACGGTACGAATCCTCTTGTCCGTACATTCGAGGGCAAGTTTTTTAGCGAGGCACGTGACCTCCTCTGAAGCCTCAGCGATCGCCTTTGCGGTCGCGATCAACTCCCGTTTACTGCCTGCAGATTGTTTTGAATACTATAAACGTTTTGTACACAATTTTGAGAAATATCCATAAAAAAAGAACATAAAATTTATTGCTTTTTCTTTTGATTATTTTCTTCACATCACACTGACTTATTACTACAGGTTAATTGAGAAATCTTATCTTCACCGTGTGGTTAGTGGCGGTGTAAGAATGTCCAATACCGCATATCATTCCGAGGCTATCGTAAGAGGCGACAGAGGGAAACTCGACTCCACCAAGCCAGTAATTCATTCTTGGGGCGATGTATACGCTTTTACAACAAACTCCCTGAAAATATACAAAATTTTACAAACACAAAGTTCAAAAATGTTATTCAACTAAGATTGTATAAGAAGGGTTATTATAATATTAAGGAATTTATGCATGATAATAACCCCTGGGAAGGGTGATCGCTACCAAGCTATTTCTAATTTGTCTTGTGTTGTTAATTGTAAACATGATTGTAAGCTATTATTGGAAAAAAAATAGTCCCGCTGGGTTTCTTGCTGGTTCTTCCCAGGACAGAGGTTTTTTTTGCGAACCAGTGGTAAATGAAAAAAGTGACTTTCAATAAGTATTGTTACAATTTACATTGAATAAAAACGTTTCTGTTTCTGTTTCAACAATGCCTTCAGCATTGGCGGCAGTATCTTCCTAATAACGACTAAAAAAAAGCTGCGGTTAGCAACCCGCTTGCGAATCGTGGCATCTATGGTAAACATCCTCCCTATGAAGTAATCTAGGTGAAGACCTACGTTCAACAGTGAATTTTGATAGGCTGGAACGGTAAATACGAATCTTGTTAAGTGCTTATGGCACTCAGAGCCATACATATAAAAAAAATTTATATATAAAAGTAAAAAAAATAAAGTTAAAGTCTATATACGTCTCACACAGAGGCACAGACTTCCCCCTCATTTCTAAAAGGGTTTTATGGTCAAGGAAGCGTCCACCGCGCTGACTCAATGTATGTTGGCGAACTTCACATGTCTTCGAAATATTTTTTTTCTTACTTCTCAGACATGCAGGTTTCCTCACGATGTTACCATTCACCGCCAAACACGTGGTAAATAAGAATTCAAAATTGCAATTAAATTTTTTTTAGTGCCCTCGGGGATCGTACCCTGGTTACTGGCGGATTGTGAAATTTACTATATTTTATAGCGCACATACCATATTAAACAAATTAATAATATATCACACATAATAATACAATTTCTTAAGCATAATGTTTGCAATAAGCTAAACAATTCTGCCATGAGAAACACATAGACAAGCACGCATAGTACTTACCGCTAAGATTCATAGCGACCTCTGTCCGAGTGTAAGCAGTGGACAAATTTACACAATGAGTAGCAAACGTTACTACAGTATTGCAGAATAATTATTGCGCATTGCCAAACATCAGAAACAATCGTATTGTACATTATAAAAACGATTTACGGAAGTAATTTTGTAACAGAAACCCTCGTAATTTCAACTTTATTACATACGAATAAATGTCAATATCGTTTCTAATAACAGCAATTAGCTGCAAGCTGTGCGGCACCATGCAGCGGAATCACACAGAGCTGGCTGACATAACCGCCATCTTGTTTTGTTTTTCAATTATTCAATTTTTATTTATTATGTCGCAATACCGATATTCTCTCAATAATGATTTGGTAATAACAGCTTTATATTATATACCGTCTCGATGCGGTCGGTCGTGTTCGAAAATACGAAATTTCCAGATGCACAATATTTATTCTGAAGTACTATACGAAGGCATGGGCGTAACAAGATAGCTAAAATAGGCAAGTTATCTATATAAATAGTAACACCGGCGACGAAAAGCAGCATCAGAGATGCGAGACATCTGGTAGTGCAATCGCCTTCGCTTACCAAGAAGAGCTATTATATCAAATTCTCCCTACTAAAGGAGAAGTTCTAGTCTAGAAGTGGACTGGCCTATTGATCAAGTTTAAGAATATGGAAAATTCAACATGGTTAAGAGAATTTATTGTTAACATTGGTCTTGGTACGTCCATACCACAGTTAGCACAACATTTACACATTTATTATACAAAGCTAACATATATTTTTACATAAGCGTATAAGTTGTGTATATATTATTATGTAGTGTGTATAGTCTGTACGCTAAGATAGTGTCGGTACACTCGGAGACGTACTTATTATTTTGCTTTTATTTTATTATGTTTTACTGTGTTTGTTAAATAAATGTTTTTATATTCTAAAAATAAAATTAAATACTATGTTATTTCTTATAGTTATTGAAATAAAATACTAATATAAATAATAAACACAAGTGAGATAGCAAAGAACCTTTCACAACGGCGCTTCGTTTTAAAATGCCATAGTGTACGCCGCATAGGGAAGGCCCTTGATGTCGCGGTGGCGGTGCCTTTGACAAGATGTGGCACGTGCGAAGGTGGCGCGACTCAAAGGCGATCGTATCTAAGCGAACAGGCTATATAACACCTAACAGGACGGCAAGTAACTTATATATAATGACGTATGTATATATGCTTAGTACGTAATTCCTTTAAAAGTTACTGCGTATGTGCGTGTGGGATTGGAGATTTATTTTCTAGAATAAAGATGACAAACGAGCACACAGTACACCTAATGGTATGTGGATGCTGTGGTAGACATCTACATTTATCCTCGCACTCGCAGATGCGTTGTTATCCATGAGGACTAAGATGGAATGCCTCGTATTTAGTAACAAGGGCCTCCGGTCCTCTGCACTTTCCGTACGAAACACAGCAGCATCAAGCTGCTATTTTACAGTGGTATTCGGTGAATGTGGTCCTGCCCCAGTCGAGCCAACTCAATTATGCGACAACCCCAATATAGCTGCAGCGTGCCTCTATATATATATATATATATATATATATATATATATATATTATGTATATTATTTATTATATAGTATTATCATATACATATATATATATATATATATATATATATATATATATATATATATAATATATATTATATATATATCATTCTATTAATAATAATAAATATATAACAAATATATTTATTATATATATTAAATATATAATACCCAAATATATATATATATATATATATATATATATATATATATATTACTACCACAGTAAGTGTATTATACTACTACGACAATGGATGTGGGCTTCCGCAGTCCAACATAAATTGAACTTTAAAGCTATAAAGCTAACAGTGACATACTATATAATATGTGTACGATATACGACACCACAACACAAATGTGAAAGAGAATGAATGGTATAACAATATATACTACCACTCGAATGGTGATTTCCAAAGGTCTAACATTAGAATATATAGGAAAAAACCGTGAATTATAAATTTTTTGAGTAATGAGAGAGTAAGATGCTGCAAATAGCTGATTTGAAAGTCAATATTAAAATTTTAACAGATAATAACGAAATGATACGTTTTGATGTTTACAAAAAACGAAAAGTAGGTATCATTAAATTATTTTTGCACTCAGTGTGTAGTGTACTTAGCGAGTAAAATGGAAAGTATCAATGTTATAAATAAACCCAAGTAATTGGTTTTTGTTGGAACAAGAGAAGCCTCAGTCTTGAGAATACTATTCTGTAACGTAATTTGTATTAAGTACCTATATTACCAAAATATAAATTTGTTTAAATGATCTGCAAGCTAACAATCTGAGAAATTTATAAGAATGTGAAACAATTTTATACGCATTATATTGGACAGAGTGAATGGAGAAGGTGAATGAATGATCAATTTAGTTTGAGCCTATAGGGAGTCATTCTTTTTTTGGAACTATGAAAAATTAAGCACATGTGATGGAAATGAGAGATACGTTTTATAAACAAATGTAAGCGGCTTATTTTAATCGTTATAATAAAATAATTGAATATATACCTTTAGAGTCAGAACGCACTAAGTCGGAGAGACGAGCCATGAGAATCGCCATGCGTTTGGCGGCGGCGATAATTTCATTGTCCTTTGACGACCATTCTCGCACTGCTTTGTGCAAATTGTGAGCCGCCACCTGGAATGAAACAAGCAGTGTAAGCAATTTTTTTTTAAGAATCATTTAGCAATAAAAATTATCAAAACAACCAAAACGTAATGTGACGTAATAGCTTCCATAAAACTAAAAAATTTATTTGTTATGACATTTTTTCGAAAATAATTTGTTGAACTGATGAATGAATGAACGTATGTGTGTATGTAAAAAACTGACAATTTAAATTGTAACTTAACATGTCACACATAAACACCAAAATTGCTTGTGCCAATGTGACAAGGAAAATTAAATCACAAGACGCAATATCAACGTGAGACGTCACAATCGAAAATATACGTTAATGTGAATGAGATAAATACCAATATGGGCTGGCTGGGGTGTGGTTGCCTGCGGAAGATGTCCTCGTCTTCGTCGTCGGTGTCCGGCGGCGGCGGGCGCGGCGGCGCGAGGCCGGGTGCTGGCGGGGCGAGCGGGGCGGGCGGCGCGGGCGCGGGCGGCGGCGGCCGCGGGGGCGCGCGCTCCGACACGTGCAGTGCCCGCAGAGTGTCCGTCAGCGAGGGCGCTCGCGACATGTGCCGCCCGAACGCCGCCTCCACCTCACTCGCCGCGCTCATTATCTACACGGGTTGACAACTGTTCATAAGTGGCTAGATATTTGACGGGAACTTGGCCGACGACGGACTGTCGCTCCTGTTTTGTCGCTTGAACCATTAGGTTTGAAGTGGATTTTAATTCGTAAAAGTGATGTGATTTTGTGAATTAAGAGTCTGCGCGTGTGAACTATTAGAGATAACGACGAAACAAGTGCTTTGATGTTGATATAGATCTCAAGTTAATTTGATCGCTTGGGCACCTTATGAACTTGAGTGGCTGTCCTCATCAACATTCCGCTGGGTTAAGCTATCGTCAAAATCTCCCAAAAACTTCGCAATGTGACGCATCAGCATATTGTGAAGAAAAAATATATAAAATGAAGATTCTGAAAGAAATGATAGGCTCAGAAGGGCTAGTGCCCAGAGCCGTAAAGCCAGTTAAATAAAAAAATCTTAAGTGGCTATTACGAGTTTAGGCAGGCAAAGGTCTTAGACCATACAGTCTTGTCTGATTTGTATTTTATTCACAAAACTCTTCAGGATGCAGCTTAAGGCAAGTGGTTAAGCTGCATCCTTGTGAAATAGAGTTGATAATATTTCAAGGTGGTGGATAAAAAAACCTGACCGCGTTTCTACTAATATTTCTACTATCTATACTAATATTTAAAATCGCAACACGTTTACGTATCAAAATTCACTTCAAATCATTATCTAAACAATAAAACAGGAGCAGCAACAGCCAGCGGTAAGGTTCCCCTCGAAACTCTTAAAAACTGTTCACTTACTCATTACTTTTTTTTAATCGAATGAGTGCGACATGTGACTCGAATGAGTGTGAGAATGCTGTGATCCATTGACATGGTGTAAAATACTTGAAATGTTGGGAATTAAAAATTATATATTAAACGTGAGAAAATACGTTTTATACATGGTAGGCCCATGCTGCAGCTATATTAATAGTATAGTTATAGCACGAAAAAAAATACCAGTGTAAAATAGCAGCTTAAAGCTGCTGTGTTTCGTATGGTAAGTGTAGAGTACCGGAGATCCTTTTACTGGAAACGAGACATTATATCTTAGTCCTCACGGGTGACAACGCATCTGAATTTTATTTCGTAATCGAGGATAGATGTAGACGTCTATGGGCCGCACTAACTACATACCATCAGGTGGACTGAGTTCTCGTTTGTCATTCTAATCCTATAAAAAAAAAACGTTAGTTTTATTCAATGATTAATTCACGTTGGAAAATGTTATTAATATACATGGGCAAATTATTAAAGGAATTAAAATTTCCGTAGTATAGTTATTGAGAATGTATTTGATAATTTTTTTTTTGTTAAAAATTGCTGTGTATATTTTGTCGTATCATTTATTGTACATAATTCAGCGCCATACTGTATAATTTTGATTTTTGTAATGTATGTGTAGGAAAACAATGAAGCAGCTGTTATATAAAGTTGTAAAATAAACGACGGCTGAGAATCACATTGCCTTAGCATTTGATAGCAGTGTTGCGAACATTGGGTTCGGATTCCGCACGAAATGGTGGATTGTATGGCTCGTAAGTACGTAACCTTACGTGCGAGTGTGCATGCGTAGGCACGTATGTGTGTCCGTGTAAGTGTGTAAATATGCGTGTGCGTGTGTGTGCGTCCGTGTATGCACGCACCTCAGTGTTGGCGGTGCGCCAAGCGGGCACGGCTGTGCGGTCGCGCAGGGCCACGCGCTTGGCGTGGCGCACGGCGGGCGCGATGCTGGCCTGCAGCCGCTGCTGTGCGGCGCCAAGAGCACGCGCGAACTCTCCGTCTTCCGTGTTCTCACGCTCCGCACCTCCCACAAGGAGGACTCGGTTCGCCAATCTAGTACATGCAAATATTATACTTCAGTTTCGATGCGATTTACAGATTTTTAAGCTGAAGTAGCAATGGGCCAGTCATATAGCTCGAAGGACCGATGGGTAAGAAAGGTTCTCGAGTGACAGCCTCGTACCGGTAGATATAGTGACGACCTGGTAAGTCATGCAGGTGACTTAGGACCGTGCTTAGTGACATTCCTTGAGAAAGGCCTATGTTCAAATAGTGAACTCGTGAAAGGCTGTAATGACTATGATAATTTAATGCGAGTTTATTATCTTTGGTGTCGTCGTTAGCTTCGTTATGACGTTTGATTTAATTGTATTATGTAAATGTTAATCAGATCGATCAAAAGTAGACGTCTTTTTATACTACTATTTTATTTTATTATCATTAATAGAAACATAACGCAGTTGCAGCACCAAAGTTACACAATCTTACTACAGCTACCATCATGTAAAAATACACACAATTCACAAAATATCGTAAATTATCTGGGGGCACGGCAGTGCCCCCGCCAAGTCGAGCAAAAAAGCGGCACGGCCGTACCATACTTTTCTCAAAGCAGTTCAAGCCATTTTCGACCCCCTATAACTTCGTTGTGGATAAAACTAGAAACCTGAATTTTCAGACACCAAGCAGTCATTGTATAAAAATTAAATTTGAACCAGTAGTTTAATAATTAGTCAAAAGTTCTTAATTTTGTCACTCACTGACTGACCGACCATCAAAACTGTAAGGCACTTCTAGCAGAAGTTTATATAATAAATTGACTTAGCAATCGCACTAAGCAATCGAATTTAATATAATATGTATTACTTGTGAGCATTGTGTTTACATGCGATGGCCCAAGGCAATCTATTTACCTAAAACATAAAAGATTTTTAATATTGATATGGTCACAATAAGATGTTGTTATGTTAGCGAATTACGTAATAACTTAAGACAGAAGTACTCTCAAGTAGGTACTGAATAAATAAACCAAGTCGGTTATTCGTTATTACACGGATCTCACAACTTTTTCCGATAGAAGAACTGACTTGCGACTTGTTTTTTTTACAAGTTATGTTTTTGATGGCATCATATAATTATTTAAGCTTATCATTACTAATTCAACAAAATATTTCGAAATATTTTATTTTGTTTACAACGCCATGTATAACGTTAAACCAATTCACAGTCGCTTTTTTACTTTATAGCCAAAGCTTGTCACTTTCATACGTGTCACTCCAAGTAGACAGTGACTACGGACTCCCATTTGGTACGATTCTGACACAACTCTCTTGCTTCTTATATGGCTATTGCTAATTATATGGATGTGAATATATCTACGCAAACACGTTCATATGTTAAGGGTCTAATTTCGCCAATCCTAAATATATCTAGGATGTCACTTGGCGACTTTGCCACTCATTGCACTGCCACTCCTTTTGTAAATCACTGAAGCTTTTCTTCTTCTCTTTTTTCTTCTTTTCTTAATCCTAGTCATGAATTTCTTTTCGGAGAATAAATGTACATCTATATGGGCCACAGTATCCATTTACCATCAGGCGAACTGTGAGCTCGTTTGTCGTTTCTATAAAAAAATGCACACATTTTCTAATTAAATACAAAATATTACTCACCGAGCAATAGCCGAAGTATTATCGACCATCTTCTGAGCGTCGTCGTTGCGAATCGCGTCCTCGCATAGGTAGGTGTGCTTTTGCATCAATTCACCTGTAGCAAGTTTACTCAACATTATCTATTTTATCACATTTAGAATTTAAATTATTATTTTTGAAATTGTTTTAAATTTACGACCATTGAATTGGCAACAACCATAGTCAGGTATTCTGGCTATTTTGCGCTTCGAACTAGAAGACAGCAGAGTGCACTGTGCACATAGTTAAATTGATATGTAAATTACAAAACATATAGCAAAAATAGGACAATATTAGATTTTTGAACAGTTTTAATTTGACACTAGTTATACATTACCGTGCAGTGGCGGTGTAAGAATATCTCCTACCCCATATCATCCCGCGGGTATCGTAAGAGACGACAGAGGGAAATATATCAGGAGGTGGGATCAGCAGAGTCTTCCTAATAACGACTAAAAATAAAAAACTGCGGTTGCCAATCCGCTGTGGCTAATATCTACCTTATGAGACAATCTATTGGGGGAGGCCCATGTTCAGCAATGGACTTCACTTCAATAGCCTGTAAATGTAACTAGTATAAATATGATTTTTATTCTTAAGATAAATAATGTTTCAATATAAGAAAGCTGAAGTGGCAATGTGCCAGCTATATTGCAAAACCCGTAAACGATTTGGAAGAAACTATTTCGATTGGCAGGCTAGTATTGGTAAACGAAGTGTAAGGTCGCGCCCCCACTAGATGAATTGACGATTTTGTAAGATTTGCTGGAAATTAAAAGATGCAGATGGCTCGAAACCATAGCATTCGTTTTAGAGTTGTGATTCTATATTCAACCGTGGACTTGTGAAGGTTTATAATGATTGATTTATGATGATTATGAAGCATCTATGCATATAATAGAGATTTACCAGCAGTCCTGACGAAGTCCAACGGGTCAACCGCCTGATCGCAAAGATCTCTTACGCGGAGCACAGCGTCCGCGTATTGATTCTTGAGATTGTTAAAATGCTCCTCTGCTACCTATTAATGAAGAAAATGAGTAATTTATAAAAAAAATAATCAAGAAATAACTAAGCCCAAGTTGGAAGGATTTATTTTATATTATATAATACATATTAAAATTTTAGAATTAGTTGTGGTTTATTTTGCAAAGAGTAATATCTAGCTAATAATAATAAATCTATAAACGTAACAAACAAAAACTATAGGATAGGAGTTACAAACGAGCACACAGTCCACCTGATGTAAGTGTATACTGCGGCCCATAGACATCTACATTTAAGCGAGCTGTGCTTATAAATACATTAAGAATTTTATTGTGTCTTGTTACTACATATAAGCACTTTCATATTTGTGACAAATATATTTGGTTCTTTATCTAATGTTTATCATATACTTTACCTATCTGCCACAATATTACTTGTTCATTCCAAGAATGCCGTTACCCCACGGCTCAGGTGTCACCCTATTAGTACCGATAGCAGCGCCTTTGTAATGTTTTACTTATTAGAAATGTTTTAAATGAAAAATAAAATTATAAGTTTTAATTATAATATTTTATAATGGTATCGGACACGTTCCTATTCACTGTTATTATGTATTTCGCTTTACAAAATAAATTATTTTATAGTATGCATTTTATCTACTTGCTTGCTCTAAATTTCTGTGTACAGGACAACAAACTACTTGCTTAGTTTTGTTCAATTTGACAAAAATATAGTCATAATGTTGAGATATAATAGATAAACATGATGCCTTTTTTGTCTATGTTACCGTCAGCTATGATATCGAAACGGTCGACGACAGCAAACTTGAAATGAACGCATAGCACCTAATAATACTATGTGGCACTATTAGAGTATCACAAGTCCTTACCTTACTGTCGGGGTAATGCAGGCGAATTTTACCGGCGGCGATGAGCTGCGGCGAAAGTTTCTCGACCTAGAAACGTAACAGAATTAAATAATATCAAATAAAATTGCCATATAAGTAAACTTTTTAATATACTATTTTCATTCTCGATGGTCTAAGTTTTTTGTATGGTATAAAATGGTTAAACTCTATTTTACCGACTTGATATTTGCTTAACATTGAATTATCAATTTGGTTTTTTTTAATATTTACTATTAGTATTCTACCAATTGGACAGGTAAACGACGTTTGTCAAATATACACATTCACTTTTTTGGGACAAGACGTTTTACAGTGTAAATATGAAATTTATTGATAACCAGATTTTGAAATTTCCTTTTTTGGGATTTTACTAACATATTTGGTTTATATATTGGTAAACTGGGTAATTGTAAAGTATTTTGTGTTAGGCATTTTGGCAAGTATTTTAAATTGTTGTTTCTGTGTTTTTTTATTTTTTTATTTAAATAATGGTTTAGTTTCACACCCAGTTTTTAGTTTTATAAAACGCTGATAATAGTTTTTCACATGTACAGAGCCCTTACAGTTTGTGGTAGATTTGTTTGTAGTCAGTTGTACGACATTGTTTATTATGTCTTCGGATATGAATTACCGTCAAAGATGTTATGTTATGACAGATACGTGTGGCGGCAGCGGCCGCACTAAGCTGGTGACTGAAGCGCACTTTACGCGCGCCCTCCGTATCCTCAACCGTATAGCAGAAGACATAGATATATTTTGTTGTACTCTGGGTGGGTTCATAGTAAGAGCTCTATTTGAAATTAGTTATGGTCCTGCTGTGATATAGATACGTGTTTGAAATAGCAATAAGTACATATCTATAATCGAAAATTATTAGCTTGTAACTGTGTAGTTGGAGTTGGTAAAATATTTGTCTACATTATCGCATTAGGTGATAAACCTGTAAAGATAATTGTATAGTGGAAAATAAATAAATAAATAAATGTTATAAAACTTAATTTTTGTTCGCTTAAGAGTTTACCTTGAAAGGATGTTATATCAAAGTCATCGGTGTTGGCATTCTGCTACCAAAATATCTCAAAAACATCGAAATATGACGTATCAACATAAGAATTTACAATTGTTTAGACTGTATCGCAGCGTCGGATGAAGGCCTTGTAGCCAACGCCATAGTAAAAGAAAAAATGAGTGTTTAGCGCTCAGCGCTCATCGGTCCATCTCTATCACATGCGGGGTAATCCGCATCACGTCGTCCTGCTTCCACGTACCCGTCTCACGTAGTGTACCAGCGGATCTACGTGTCGCTTGTGCGTAACAGAATAAAAACAGTGTTCGGTGCACAGCGATTAACTGCTCGTCTCTATCGCACGCGGCGTGGCCTGCATCACTATGTCTTGCCTGCATACATAGTTCAGGTGGGTCTCTATCGCACCCATGGCGGTCCGTATCGCGTTGTCCTGCACGCACGCGGTGCACGTACCTGCCTGACGTAGTGCGCCATCGGTGCATAGTGCTTATCGGTCCATCTCTATCGCACGCTGGGCGGTGCGCATCGCGCCGTCCTGTTAGCACGTACCTGCCGGGCGAAGCGCGCCATCGGTGCATAGTCCGTATCGGTCTATCTCTTTCGCACGCGGGGCGGTGGGCATCGCGTGTACCTGCCTGGCGTAGTGCGCCAGCGGTGCATAGTGCTTATCGGTCCATCTCTATCGCACGCGGGTTGTGCCGTTCCGCTCACACGTACCTGGCGGGCGTGGTGCACCAGCGGGTCGGCGAGCCGCTTGTGGTGCGCGGCGGCCGCCACAACGCCAGCCGCGGCGCAGGCGCGGTCACTAAACGCCTGCAGAGCCGCAGCTCGCTCCGAGAAGTTCGCCTCGCGACCCACCGCACCTTACGACCAACAACAACCACTGTACTCTTCCTGTCTCATACATTAACCGCCTTATCACAAAAACGACTTTGTAGTCAATCTCAGCTTTAAAATACAATCTGTTACACGAAATAATTCCTGCGAAAATATGTAAACTAAAGCATAAAATATGGAATCAGACGACAAATGTCAAAATTTCGACTTGTTTAATAAAACATAATTTAAACACTATCAATAAACTGCATTTTTATATTAGAATAAAATATATAAAAACCCACTAATAACCGTAAGCCTTCCCATAAATTTGTATGTGGTAGAGCCACGCTGCAGCTACATTAACTGTAGCACAAATGAGTAGGCTCGACCGGGGTAGGACCACACTGTTACAGGATATCAGGGTAAAATGGCAGCCACGTTGTTTTATATAGTGAATCTGGAGAACTGGAGACCCTTTTGATTAGAAACTAAGCATTGCATCTTAGTCCTCAGGGTGACAACGCATTTGCATTTTGATTCTTAATCAAGGATAAAGATTGCTATGGACCTCAACATGCACTTACCATCAGGTAGACTGTGTGCTCGTTTGTCACCCTTATTCTATAAAAGAAAAGATTGCTCCTTCACTACTTACGTTTACGTTACGTTTCCTACTTAAATATGTATAAAAAATAGTGCTCGCGTCCTTTTTACTAAGACATTGACAAATATTCATGACACAAACACTACGAAAATAAGATAAAATGTGTGCCAGCATGGAACTTTTACAATATACTTGAGTTACCTTCTGGTGCGTTAACAGCGTCAGTGAAATGCCTCAGCGGAGCGGCGACGTCTATGAAGTCTTCGACGACGCGGTTCACAACCGCTCGCTCCATGCCGCGTTTCAATTCATGCAGTTTATCAGTCAGCTCCCTAGCAAAGTTAACAATTGTTTTGAAAATATATAGGTACAAAGTAGTCCATAACATAGGCCATTGCTAATATGATCCATAGACATCTGGAACCAACTTCAAATAAGCAGGTTACAAGTGCATGAACTTTTACAAACGAACACAGCAATGTTTCTGAAGACTCAGTTGAAATTCCTACTAATATTAAAATTACTAACTTACTAATCTTTCTAGACGAATAATGTTAATGTTTGTCGCCACAAACGGTAAGTGCTCCATCTTAGACGATACAATTTTGAAAAATTTTATGATTCAGCGATTTCAGATGTCCTGCTAAGTTTTAGCGGGAAACCTAGACTTACTTACACGAGATTCCATAAGATGGCAAATTGCTGCTATAATCCACGGACACCTGTAAAACCAACTTCAAACGAACAAGGTGATTTATCCTCAAAACTACGATGAAATGCCCACAACAATTTAGATTAGTGTTTAATTTAGAATAAAGCAGTATAATTAAAGTATTAAACTGAGCAACACGTTTTCTTTCATTTAACACCTTTCCAACATTATATGCCTTTAATTTTTTTAAATTACCTTGTAAATTTCAGTTTGAAAAAAGATGCGCAACAATATAGTTAAACGCGACCAGTCCTTCGAGCCGGATATGTTTAATTATTAAGTTTGTGTCTTACAATGGGTAAGTGCTTAACTGTATCCTACGATTATGTAAAAATTTTAATACACAGCGATTTCAGACGTTGATCTTACAAGTTTTACGGGAACCTATTTTTGTACCTCATGTAACGCTTATTAAATACTGAAATTTTATATTCAATAAAAGGAATATTTGCAACACGTACAAACGTGAGAACTTAACACCAATAAGTTATGGATTCCTAATAAGTTCGGCTGAGGTTGGCCACCTGGAAACACCGCTAAATGGTTTGGTTTTTGACGACGCTTAGAAGTCTATTTAAATTCAAACAAACATAAATACTCGCGCCTATTTTCAGAGGGGTAGGCAGAGACTTTCCATTTGGCACGATCCTTATACACCTTTTTCGTTCTTTCATACCTATAAACGCTTACGTGTTCGTGGGTTCAGGATTACTCTATTTAAAATAATTATAAAATACAATAGTATATAATTCATCGCATCTCTCGTTAAATTATCGTTTCAAGTTTACCTAGTGACGGCTCTGGCCTCATCCGATTGGCCGTATCCGTTCGAGCACATGTCCGCGAGCTTGTCGGACAGCCTCTGCACGTCTCCACACAGCTGCAGTATCTCCGCCTTCTCGCGTCCTTGCAGACCGTCCGCTATCTAATTTTGTACATAGAAAGATAATATTTTCTTTAAAAAATAACTCGTAATGCTATTAACCTCTTAGCTATCAAGCGTCCAAAAAAAGTAAAGTTGGCGATATTCCGTCAAAATTTAAGGTCACAAGGTCAAATGTGACCACACCCACCCACAGCACTTTAACCCATAAATACTTATATTTAGAGACTACTTTTCTATGAAGAAGTTTGAAATTATAGAATCAATATGAAATTTTCTATCCTCTAGTAGAATAAAAAGTCAGTTAGTCGATGGATATTTATTTATAGTCTACGTTCATTTCATACGGATTTTCGTTCGAATGTTATTGTGTTGATTTTTGTACTTTTCTTGTGTTTTATTAGTGTTTTAGTATAATCTTTCCTGACTTTTGTTTAGACCACTAGATAGAGAATTTTGCATAGATTTTATAATGCCAAACTTCTCGATCCGCTCGGGATTGGACGGACGCATGCTACTGCATGGGATTTATGGGAATTGAAACTAACATTACTAATATTCTCTTTAACCACTCCAAGTGAGCTTAAAATGTTTCTGTTAGGAGTGGTTCACGACAGAAGTCCAATAGCGGATTCAAACCCACGAACTTTGAGTTCCCAGCTCGCATTTCGCCCTGTCATTAGGCTACTGTCGCTTGGTAATGAATAAATTATGCATTTTACAAAAAAACATTTCGAATATAAAAACACTAATTAACACCTCCATCTTCTTCCTATACCTTATATCTAAGATCTGATACCTAAATACTTACAACTGGAAGGGAGCCTCTGCTATTATTCCTACAATAGGAGACACTTCCGTCCACTCACAATAGGAAAGCTAAATTATCAACATTCCAATCATAAACAGTATATATAGAACATTCTTCCTTTTCCTTCTACGCCATAGCATAAGAGAATTAGCCAAAATCTCCACGACTGGTTGACAGACAGCAGTACCAGATGTTTCATACCTTCCACACTGTTTCCCGTCGACGCATTTCCATTAAGTCTAAAGTAGCTAGATGGCATTTTCTAGCACCAGCCCATATATATTAGTAATACACTATATAGTAATAATAAAATAGAATGGTAACCAATTGCTTTTAGAACTACAACTTACCCTCTGACCCTGAGATACGATACTGGTAATGGCCTTCTGTCCCTCAGATCTTGTGTGCGAATCGGCAGCGGGATGGAGGAGCCATTTGTGAGCCGTTTCCAACCTAGAGACACAATGTTTTTTTTATTTATAGACTAAGGAACATTGCAGAGAATCACACAGCATAGACGATGAAGCTGAATCTAAAGAATAGCAACTGAACTGAAAAGTACGGGTTTAAATGGAAAATTGTGTAACATGCGATAGATGGCCGGCAACAAATGAATGCTTTGCAACATCAATGGTCATTTAAGGTCTAATACGTTTAACAACCGAATGTTGTATATAAGCCCGGATAACCAACAGGTTTGGAATATTCATTTGTGGTCCTGAATTCTTGTAAAATAGTAGTATGCTTGATTTGAATAAAATTTTATTAAATTTCTTCGCGGCTTTGCATGAGTGATATCTGGATCTCGACAACAGCGCCACCTACCGGGTTCACATGAGAATCTAAACCATTCAGCGATGGGTCCCTATGAATGGGTTCAAACAAAAACAATCATCAAAATCGGTCGAGCAGTTTTTGAGTTTTAGCAATACAATAGCAATAGCAATGGACAGCAATTGATGTTTACATATAGAGATATGATAACGTCCTCAAGACTGAATTTCGATCTCGACGGTACACTCTATTACGTCACTCTTTACATTCCTATGGGACGACAATCCGAAAAGATCAGACGCAGGACAAACGGCTTTACGTGCTTTACGAGGCACGGGGTCGAAACCACCCCAATTTCTGACTCAGGGTTGCTTTTGAGAATTCCATGACAGAAAAGCCTAATAATTGATTATTGGCACTACCCGGAATTCAAATCCGGGAATTTCGAGGGGTTGAGCTTACCACTAGTCTATCAAAGTAGTTGAATTGTCAAAATTATAGGAGGATACTCAACAGGTTGAGTAACACCCAGCCAGATCTATTGAAATGAGGATGGTTTTATTTTATTTGAATAGTATCCTCTGTAGGAATATGCATCTTTTTGTGAGGATTTGCGATCAAACAATAATATAATGGCGGAGGCTATTCAAAATATGTACCCAGATTACAGACTTCCCGGGGCGTCGACGTTTGACGTCAGCTATTTGCGGTACTTTTAAGGGTGATTTCAATAAGACTAGTCATATATATCAATATGTCGCTGTTTTTTTAGGCAAGTCTAGCACTGGCTCATTAAGGATTAAAGAGCTGCACTGAAGATTAGTATGACATGCAGCCGGTTGTCGCCTCCCCCCTGAACTCTCTCCCAAAATCATTTCGGTTTTAAGAACAGTTAAATAATTAGCATGGAATACATCAATCGGTTATTACCGTGCAGTGACGGTGTAATGAATATCCACTACCCCATATCATCCGTGGGTGTCGTAAGAGACGACATGTACTCCGCCCAGAAGAAGTGAAATTGCTCACGGCTAAGCAACTCCTTCTGAATTGAAGACAAAGGGCTTAGCCGTGAACTATAGCCAGAGCAGCGATCACAATAGATCTTCTAGATCGCAGTGATACTGGTCTCTTTCCCTAGACCTGCATAGCTGCTCGCACTTAAAAAAAAAGAGACGACAGTGATAAACAAGTCAGGAGATGGGCAGCAACGTCATCCTAATAACGACCTAAAGTAAAATCGTGCGGTTGCTTACCCACTTGCCAAGCGTGGTAACTAATGGCAAATATCCCCCCAAAAGGCAATCTATGGGGAAGGCCTATGTTCAGCAGTGGACTTTAATAGGCTATAACGGTTAACGGTAACATCAATGTGTTGACTGATGGAATAGTAAGTCCGTTCTTTTTATTCAAAAGTAATATAATGCAATAAAGAATAAATAAATAAACCCCTATTAGCATGTTAGAATATTATGCAATTTTCATTAATTAAAAGATAAAAAAAACATTGAATGTCTGTAGTTCAAACATAAGGTATATAGGTAAGGTATGTAGGTAAAACATAAGTACAACATACCTGGCCTGTATAGTTTTCCCGCCTTGCTTCTCCGCCGCTCTCACACCTTCGTTAACAACACCTTCCACTTCGTTCAGTTGGGAGCGGAGATCCGAAGCCAAGTTTAATGCCTGTAAAATTTATATTTCGACGTGGTAGAGCCATGTTATAGTTGTAACACAAATCTACTTGACCGGGGTAGGAACACGCTCTCACAAAATACCAAAGTGAAATAGTAGTTTAATGCTGCTGGTGTGTCGTATGGTGAGTGTAGGCCATAGAATACTATAATACATACATAATAGAACGGGGGAGTGGGCGGAGCCCGTGTAGCCACTAAAATGCCACTAAGACGTCAATTCACACGTATAAATGTCAACACGAGATGTGTTTTGACGTTACAATCGTTTCCAAATTTCGCATGCAAATTATTTAGAAAATGCCAAATTGCACGCTATTTAAAAATAAATATGTATTAAAATCCGTCTGTCAGCACAGCGAATCGGGTTTGTAGCAGTGATTAACAGATAATACGACGTAATAGCTTGTATGTGTGACCCCGGCGACGCCGAACCTCGGTACAAAATAAGGTTGACAGCCATTCTATTGTGTATTATAGTATTCTATGGTGTAGACAACCGCAGACCTTTTTACTGGAAACGATACATTCCATTTTAAAATCCTTAGGAGTGAAAACGCATCTGCATTTTAATTCTTAATCGAGGATAGACGAAGATGTTTATGAAACACAGCATCCACTCACCATCAGGTGGATTGTGTAGTCGTTGGTCACTCTTATACTACAAAAAAGTTAAGGTTTTAGTATCAGGGTGAAAAACCTTCATTCAGCAATAAAAATTTTATTCTCATTTTTTGACAATTAATAGAATCAGGCGTTACCTTGCGAAAATTCATTATACTAAAGATGACCTTCAAACTAGGTAAAACACAATCATTTTATCTTATTGAGCGGATGGTTGCAAAGTAACTCTTAACATCTTTAGTATTCTCATTTTTTGTTTGAAAGTAATTTTGTCAGCGATGACACATCTCATATATTATAATAATGTAATACAAAAATTGCAAACACAAATCGTAAATTAAAAATTAACAGTTTCAATAAATCCGATAGCTGGCCATTGACTAAGCTATTTATTTATTTATTTATTTAACAGTTTATGTACACAGTACCATTTTCCTATTAAAGTATGTGTACTTATGTACACATACTTTGATAGGAAAATGGTAAAAAGAAAATTATGTACAAAGGCACTGCTTATTCCATAAGAAGGGAATAGAAGTAGTCAAAGTGAGCACCTTATTAACATATACAATAAAATACAAATTTACAAACCTCCATATATATTATACACAAACGTACATACATACACACACACATATATATATATGTATATATATATACATAAATATAAAATACAAATATAATATATTATAGGAAAAAAGATTATGTAGTTCAATATATTATATTTTAATGTTACGTATATGAATATCTACACATCACGAATTAATAATTATGGTGTGAATGATAATGCTCTTTAACAAGTCTTTTAAACATAGACACCGACTTAGCGTCACGCTATCTGATCTGTGTGGAATTTACACGCAATATTTTTTTTCTGTTTAAAACTTACCTTTAGGGAATAACATGCATTACCAAACACGGCATTGGGTCAATACGAATTACGAAGTGTCTAGCGAATTTTTTACGCGGTAGGTGCACGTTGCAGCTATACTGTGGTTGTAGCACGAACGGGTCGACTCGAACGGGTAAGTAACTAAGGACCGCGCTCGCACAGACTACCAACGTAAAATAGCAGCCTAATGCTGTAGTTCGTATGGTGAGTGTAGAGAACTGGAGACTTACTAGAAACGGGGCATTTATCTTAATCCTCAAGGGTAACAAAGCATCTGCATTCTGATTCTTAATAAAAGATAGATGTAGATATCTATGAGCTACATCCATTTACCATCATGTGGACTGTGGCTTCGTATGACATTCATATAATATAAAAAAAGGAAAGCGATGGGGGATTCCGGTTACGTTCCGAACGGAGATCTCGAAACCCTCGTAAACGCTGAAAGTGACTTCCGAGGTTCAGCCGGTAGAAGTCCGGCGTAACGTGTCTATGAGAATTTCTCTACGATAAAAAAGGATGCACTACGACTTTAAGTTTCTGTCAGTCCATGCAACTGTTGCTTTAAATTAACATATAACAGACGCTGCGTCGTTGCTGATCATGAAGTTCCGAGTTCAAGTCAGGTCCAGCGCCTGATCTCTCTCTGGTCGTGAAGGATTAAAATCCCATCGGACTATGAGAATAAGGGAATAGAGTGCACTGGTGCTTGCGTATACACTCCGGCACTATAATCTCGTCCTGCGTACATGACTACACTCCATTGGGACTGGCCCCCGTGACCGAATCTCGGTGTGGAGGACATTATTATAAGAGAATACATACCTTAGGCTCTCTGCCACGGCCCATTTGCCTTTCGTCGCATAAATGGTCAGCGTTTATGCCTCCGGATCTACAAACAATATTATATTTTAAGTGAATATAATTGGAGACAAAAAATATATAAGTTATATTTAGCGCTGATATATATAGAAAATACGAAGACGATTCAATAGTGATTCAAAGTATTTACTTCTTACAATTATTATTACGATATATCAAAAAAATTAATGACCTCTAATAATAACCAAAATCTAAATTTACTTGGTTACTAAATATTTGAGTAGATACTTTTGTAGTTATAATTAACATTGAACGCAGAGGAAAATATGTTGACTAATTTACATAGTCAGGTAGCTCAGGGCTTAGCAACCACGGTAAATTTCACAATACGCGAGCAACCCGAGTTCAATCCCCACCGGCAAACCGGCAACAAAACAAATTCTTAAATGCAATATAAATGCTACTTTACCACGTGCTCGACTGTGAACAAAAACATCGTGAGGACAAATTAAAAAAGAAATAAAAAATATTTCGAAAACATGTGAAGTCCGCCAACACGCGTTGAGGCAGCGCTCAAAATACTGTTCATCGAAATATTAGAAATAAAAATTTATGTCAAGACTATAATATTATGTTACATAAATGTTGACATTCTGACGTTTGTGTTTAAATTCTAGATCTAGATTGTCTCTGAGTACCGGTTTTAAACCACCTCCACGTTGAGAGTTTTATAGAACTTGGTGACCGAGGTACGCAAAATATATCAGCTATGTGTTACAAGAAGAGCGACAGTACGTGCATGTGACAATGAGAGCGTCTGCATGTGCTGGTGCGTGTGCATGTGATAGAGCGTACGTGGGCGTGTCCTAGTGCGAGCGTATGTATGTGTGGTGCGTGTATGTTTGAGTGTGTGTGTGTGTGTGCATGTGCTAGTGCGTGCGTGTGTACACACCTGACGTCGCGGCGCACTGTGTCGGCCAGGTCGGGCGCTAGGTGCTCCGCGGCGCGCTGCGCTGACGTCAGCACCGAGCGCAGCGCTCGCTCGCCCGCACTGTTGCGCAACGCCGCAGGATCCTGCGTCATACAGCATATAAAAAAACTTCTGGTAAATCCAAATGTACATGCCTTAAACACTCATGTTATACTACATCAATTTTTAAAGTATTTTAAATATAAACAAGTTTTCACTAACAAGTAATAACTTCTTGGCACGTTCCTATAGTCAACCAAATCTAAGAAATACCTTTTGACGTTTCACATTAATCACTCTGCAATAACTTTGCACAAGCGAACTCACACGATAACTTAAAATAACCTTTTACGTAAATCCGAAGAATTGTGAAGTTATCTATATTTCATTACAATGTTTATAGTTTTTTATCACCAATTTAAATTCGAATTTTCGAATTTAAGTAAAACAAATATCATTAATTTTAATAACTTAAGCTCTGACATTAATATTGAATATAATGGACAACTTCTGCAGAACGCTACTAGTACGTCATTTTTAGGTTTAATTATAGACTCGAACCTGAATTGGATAGAACATATACATAAAGTGTGTAACAAAATTAACAGATTTGTGTACGCGTTACATAAATTGACAAAAATAGCAAACAAAAATACAGCGGTCACAGCGTATTTCGCATATGTAGAATCTGTTATCAGATACGGACTTTCAATGTGAGGTAATGGCACAGACTCTCAAAAAGTATTTTTAGCACAAAAACGCTGTATTACAGCTATTAGTAACATCCCATCAGACACATCAAGCAAGCCTTCTTTAAGAGTTTAAACATACTTTCTTTTCCCTGCCTCTATATATTTGAGGTAGGCAAATTTGTAATGCAAAACAAGCACTTATTCTTACAAACTAAAGATGCAACAAAATAAATTTACAACCCAGTTAGTACTTGACACAATTCCAAAAAGTAAGCGCTTTCAAAAAAATAGCTATGCAATGTGTAACACGATATATAACAAAATACCCTAACATATTAAGCAATTACCTTATAATAAGTTTAAAATGTCACTTCGACGATGGCTAGTAGATAAAGCATTTTATACAGTAAATGAGTTTTTGAATTGTAGTGACTAAGTAGTTTTATCGTTAATTAAAAATTGATGCATTAATTAATTAATTTATATATATGAATTTATTTATTTATAAAGATTGTAAAATGACGTTTTAGTTTTTTTATATAGATGAAATTTAATAATTGATTTTATTATAAAAACTTTTGAATATTTGCATGCTGTTGAAAACAGCTAAATGGGTTTTCTTAACACAATAACAGTATAACATCAATAAGAAAACATTTTGTACCTATTTAGTTGCAAATAAAGAATTTGAATTTGAATCTTTCAAACAAAGCAAAATATTTAAAAAATAACTAGTATCAACTTTTTTACTTGACGTCGTTTCAAAGATAATTATGTCGCTATATACCTTACCGTAGTGTTTAGATAATTAAAATTGTCATGCGAAAAATCGATAAAAATATTCAAATAATCGGTAAAACTATTCAAATAATCGAACTATTACTTTTTTTAATGTATTATTTGTTTAATTAAATTTTATTTTTAAAATTCCATAAATTACATGAACCATGAATAAAACAAGTTATTTTTTTACTTTGTCAACATAAATTTGTGTATGTAAAAATTCATATACAAGGCCGCGTTAAAAAAACCACTATGTAATTTCCATCTCCCGCCGTTTCGGGAGCTTACTGTGCGTAATTTTGTGGTTTTGTGTTTAGTCTTCTTATTTTGTGACTCGACTCAACTTTTTGGACTGTTTCTTCTATATTCGTTAAGCATGTGCCCATGTCACAAAGGATGATTGTCATTACAACGGAGCAAATTTCGCTCCGTGGGCAGTACCGTCTTGCCCAAGTATGTGCGCGTACGTGACGAAAGGCATCGGCCTTACTCGATTATATTATACAATCTTTTCTATATTAGAAAACTATAACCCGACAAAAAAATTATAGAGTAAATGAGACTATATGTTGAGTTCCTTCTTATTGATTATCAACATAAAACATAAACATTCACACCTGTCACCCAGAAGGATAGGTAGAGATTACTCCTGTTACGAAGGTAACCTCTTACGGAAGTTATGGTTTGATTACATACATCGATTTAAGTTTATTTTCTTGTAATTGTTACCATAATTTAGAGTAAACGAGGAAGTTTTTAGGAACTTTTTGGCAACCCTGAGCAGTGACAGGCCACACATTGCCGGGTTAGCCTGAAAAAGTGGCATTGACAGATTTTCTAGGTAGAAAATAAGTAGTTTCTAAACGTTTTTGTCGGGCTGTGCAGTCGCCATACTTCTTATAGCCTGATTTCTTTTTGTTTTTCGGCAATCTATGTACATATATGAGATAAAAATATAATTTTATACTGTTTAATAATAATAACACTTTAAAATATTTTACGGCAAATGATTTATATTATATCATAATTTTCAACCACAAATATTAGACTTTATAGCAGATGATTGTTAAGATCCTTATTTTTTAGACAATTGAAGCCTAAATTTTAATGTAATAAATAAAAGAATACACGTATTGATGTCGTTATAGAATTTTTTTTGAAAGAAACATTAAAGTTTACATTTTCCTAAGAAATTAGCGTCCGCGCTACGAAATCTGTTAAATATTTTACCTCATTGTAAAGTGGCACCGCTCTGGTGGCAGAAAAAGTCGTGGATGCCCTCATTAATGACATATTATTTGATTTTTAACTATAATCAATATAAGATCATAGCAGAAAAATGTTTTTGTCATTCACTTTTTTACTTTCCAAAAGGGCCTATTTCACACCTAAGACGGCGTTGATGATTGGGCAAAAATGGTAGAAAAACAAAAAATTGACTAAGGATGTCTTTGTGAGACATTAATTTTGACTGCATTATTGAAAATTAAATAATAATTAATCTAAAAAATGACAGCTCAACTAGTTGTACTGAAAGTTACTGAATAAATTTATTTTTAATCTAGTTTCAATCTTAAATTTTTATAACTTTGCGTCTAGAAATAAACAGTTACAACAAATACAAAGAATTTGACAAATCTTGTGTTTTAAATTATCCGCTTTTAATTCATTTATTTTTCAAACAAAATTGTAAATGATTACCAACTCTTAAATAATATTATATCGATTTTTTTAAGAATCGAATATTGTACGTTCTCGTTTTTTGCTTGGCATGCTTGGCGCAATAAGTCCGACAGCTGTCAAAATGTATTTCTTAGATTTCGTTGACTATAGTTTGCCTTGAAAATAACCCGCCACTGTCCGAAGGTAAGGTCTCACCGTAACTAACAAAACAAGCCCAAACTCAGCACACCTTTTACTAGTACTATTTTTCGAGAAGTTCCCGTAGCAGATACCGAAGCACACATTCAAGTTACTATTAATTGCAAGACGTATAAGTATATTTTTATATATAAATCCTACGTACTTTTAGCGAAACAATATATTGTAATAAAAAATTGTGATTATAAAAATAATAATAATATGTTACCTTAGTCAAGTATGTACCGAATTTTTTTTTTTGGAATATTTTGTATTTTTACAGCAATCTATATTTTGCATCACCAGCCGCTCTAAACAAACGATAAAGTACGACGTACGATGTACGACGGCGGCCGAGCCTAAAATGAATCAAAATGTATTTAGTAAAATATTTTATAACAAGGCTACTCAAAATACCGAAAATTACGGAATATCTGTAACGAAAAAAAATATTATAACTAAACAAAACAAAGTTAAACTGCCATTTACATTCCATGGCTTTCCACATGACATGATAAATGAAGAGATTCAAAAATAGATTGCGTTGAATAATTAATATTTTCAAAAGCTCGTGTTTATAGCTCCATGCGGACGTGATAAATCTACACTATAAACCACTAAATCGCTTTTTTAATGTAAAAATAGCAATTAAACAATTTTTTTTTTAAATAAGTTCAACAATCATTTATCTTTCTGACAATATGGTTTTTATATCATTTTTATGTTCAATATGATTGTAAATTATGATTTCATGCGACAAAACGTCGAATTTTAAATTTTTAGGCGCTAGTAAAACATTTTCCGCTTAAGGCATGCAATAGATTTATAATAAACTGACATTTGAATAAATCGCAATGAAAAAAATAAAGAACATAGTGTACGCGTATGTTAAAGCGAGAAAGATAGGCGAGCCACACCATTTGCCTATATCGGCCTGGCCTTATTTGTTACACAACAAATTCCGCTTGTATTTGTAAAATCTCGGGTTTTAAAGTAAAAATTTGTGTTTAATTCACGTTATTATTTATGACCACGTGTGTAGTACTTAAATACAACTATCCTCAGAAATAGAACCTTCATTATACATTTAACCCGTGGGTATAACTGAAATGCTTAGTTGTCTAATCACTGTGTTTTAGAGCAGGTACAAACAATTTGTATACAAATAGATGGAAAAAATTATTAATGAGCTGAATGCAAAGGAATTGATTGCACAACTATTTGTCTCACACACATGCACATTTCACGCACACGGGTGTATTTTGATTTTGGTCTTGTCCTCATCACTCCTTCGCCAAACGTATATACTATAATTACTACGATCGTAGCATGCACATTTTAACAACTTAACTTCTAGAAACTGTTGAGTCTGTGGACATTTAGTTTAATACAAAATATTTTACCTCTATCATCTTTTAATTGAAATTTAATCGATAATTCTATCTAACCTACATAACTACCATTAATCATTTCTACACAACACAAAAAATGTTATTGATTTTGTGACAGAGATCTCAGAAACTTTTAGTAACATACATGAACTTCACATTATTTACGCTGATATTTCTAAAGCATTTGATGTAGTTGACCACGGATTTCACTTCTACGTAGTGTAAGTTCTGTCATTAAAATCGTTCTCAACTCGTAATGGTTCGTGGTTGTATATACCTTTCGAGACCAGTGCCGTCAGGCGTGCCCATGAATCCACGGGCGTCCATCCAGGCCGCCTATGAACAACTGCAACACCAGGGGAATCGCAGTTGCGTTGCCGGCCTTTTGGAAAGGCGTAAGCTCTTTTCATGAAGGTCCCTAACTCATATCGGTCCGGAAAAATCGCCGGTGGTAAAATATTCTACAGAGAGGTAGTACGAGGAAGAAAACTACTAAAACATAGTGGTGGACTGTCAATCATCCAAATGGTGTAGATGGTATCGGGAGTTTTACCACGATGTGTGAATTTTGCGGCTGGAATTAATCCGAACAATTCTTCAGAGCACTCCGCATGGTAGATGCGACCGAAATGGCAAAGGGATGCAACAATCCTACGCAGCGCCGGTGAATCGAGCCGATCAGAGAGGACTCGGTCGTCGACGATTCGAGCCGCTCTGCGCTGGATGCGGTCAAGTCGAAGGAGCTGGCTCTGGGGAGACCGAGCCCAGAGATGGGAATAGTATTCCACGCTAGGCCGCACCTGCGCCTTGTACAGTTACAGACGACTGGCAGGCGCCCGCGCGATTCGCCCGGTAAATTTCGCCGGTCGCGTCGTTACTCCCCGCTACGCGTGGCTTACTCCATACATTTCTATACATTTGTTTTAGTCGCTAGACGCCTCGCCGTTCGCGCCGCGCGAATTTTCGCTACGGCGCATGTCCCGTGGCCAGGCTGTTAGTCTCGCTAAAACTCGAAAACAACTCGAACGATTTTGTTGAACCCGTTAGGTGGCGCTGTTGTCACTTATACTTGTAAAATAGCATCATGCTATGAGCAGGAGTGCTACCAAGCCTGGGTTGATGCATCAGCGTCCCGGGATGTAAACACCAGCCTCTAAGAAGCATAACTCCGCCTCTAGGTCTTTCAAAAGAGTCATTGCCAAGGCAAAGTCAGAGCACACAGGCAGAATTGGCGAGAAACCAGTTGGCCTTCCTTCTGGAACCCGTGCATTCTGGTCTCTCGCCAAGGCTGTCCAGGGGAATTTCTGTCAGCCATCTCTACCATCTCTGCACAGGGAGGACGACTCACTGGCCCATACTGCAAAGGAGAAAGCCGATCTTCTGGGCTCTTTCTTTGCGTCTAACTCGACTCTCGATGACGGTGAGAGTACGCCGCCGACCATCCCGCGGTGTGAGTGCTCCATACCGGAAGTGCACTTCACACAGCGCTCGGTTCGCAAAGCACTCCTCTCCCTGGACATCCACAAGTCGAGTGGGCCTGACGGAATCCCCCTATTGTGCTGAGGACGTGTGCTCCAGAGTTGACACCGGTTTTAACGCGTCTTTTTCGGTACTCTTACTCCCTAGGCGTAGTCCCAAAATCATGGAAGACGGCTTTCGTCCACCCGATCCCTAAAAAAGGCGACCTCTCAGACCCGTCCAACTACCGGCCAATCGCCATCACCTCCTTGTTCTCCAAAACAATGGAGTCCATTGTAAACTACCAGCTCATGAGGTACCTTGAAGATCACCAGCTGATTAGTGACCGCCAATACGGTTTTCGCCGTGGTCGGTCAGCTGGTGATCTTCTGGTCTACCTAACTCACAGATGGGCGGAGGCAGTAGAGTTCAAGGGGGAGGCATTGGCCCTTAGTTTGGACATTGCGAAGGCCTTCGATCGGGTTTGGCACAAAGCGCTTCTTTCGAAGCTCCCTTCCTATGGGCTTCCCGAGAAATTGTGCGATTGGATCACCAGCTTTCTTGCAGATCGGAGCATCAAGGTCGTTGTAGACGGTGCAAGCTCCGATTGCAAGCCTATTAATGCTGGTGTTCCACAGGGCTGCGTGCTATCGCCAACGCTGTTTCTTCTGCATATCAATGATATGTTGCATACCCGTAACATTCATTGCTATGCAGATGACAGCACTGGTGATGCTCTTTACACCGGCCGAGCCAATATTTCTCGGGAAAACGTATCCCAGTGCCGGGGCAAACTTGTGTCTGAAGTCGAGTCTTTGCTGAACAGAGTCTCGGATTGGGGGCGACTAAATCTAGTCCAGTTTAACCCCCAGAAGACACATAAAGTTTGCGCATTAACCGCTAAAAAGAACCACTTTGTCGTATCCCCTCAGTTTCAAGGCACTCCCCTTGTTGCCTCAGCCAGTATCGGAATCCTCGGCGTCGACATATCGAGTGACGTGCAGTTTCGTGGTCACTTGGAAGGGAAGGCCAAATTGGCCTCTAAAAAGCTTGGCGTGCTCAGCAGAGCGGGACAGTATTTCATGCCGGCACACCGCCTGCAACTTTACAAGGCGCAGGTTCGGCCGCACATGGAATACTGTTCCCATCTCTGGGTTGGGGCTCCCCAGTACCAGCTCCTTCCACTTGACCGCATCCAGCGCAGAGCGACTCGAATCGTCGAAGACCGAGTGCTTTCCGATCGGCTCGATTCACTGGCGCTGCGAAGAGATGTTGCATCTCTTTGCGTATTTTATCGCATCTATCACGGGGAGTGCTCTGCGGAATTGTTCGGATTAATCCCAGCCGCCAAATTTCGTGAACGCACTACACGTCAAACGTCCCGATACCATCCACACCATCTGGATGCTTGGCGGTCCACCACTGTACGTTTCACAAGGAGTTTTCTTCCGCGTACAACCTCTCTGTGGAATAGTTTACCACCGGCGATTTTTCCGGACCGATACGACCTGGGGACCTTCAAGAAAAGAGCTTACTCCTTTCTAAAGGGCCGGCAACGCACCCGCAATTCCCCTGGTGTTGCGGTTGATCATGGGCGGCGGTAGTCACTTAACATCAGGTGAGCCGCATGCTCGTTTGCCCCTTCTTATATAAAAAAAAAAAAAAATCTGTCCCACTCTGCTGAGCACGGCAAGCTTTTTGAGGCCAATTTGACCTTCTCTTCCAAGTAACAACGAAACAGGCCTTCATTCGATTGTCGACGACAAGGATTACGATACTGGCTGAGGCAATAAGGGAGTGCCTTGAAACTGAGGAGATACGACAAAGGGGTTCATAGCAATGAATGTTACTGTTTATAGTTTGCAACATATCATTGATATGGAGAAGAAACAGCGTTGGTGATAATACGCAGCCTTGTAGAACACCAGCATTAAAAGGCTTGTAATCGGAGCATGCACGGTGCATACTCCGATTACTACTACTATTGCCTTGATGCTCCGATCTGCAAGGTAGCAGGTGATACAATTGCGCAATAAAACCCATAGGAATGGAGCTTTGAAAGAAGCGCTTTGTGCCAAACCCGATCGAAGACCTTCGCTTTGTGTGTGAAATTAACGGCCAATGCCTCCCCCTTGGACTCTACTGCCTCCATCCATCTATAATTCAGGTACACCAGAAGATCACCAGCTGATCGACCTCGAGGAAAACCGTATTGGTGGTCACTAATTAGCTGGTGATCCTCAAGTTACCACATGAGCTAGCAGTTTATAATGAATACCATTAATTTGGAGAACAAAGACTTGATGGCGACAGGCCTGTAGTTAGACGGGTCTGAGTGGTCGCCTTTTTTAGGGATCGGGTGGGCGAAAGCCGTCTTCGATGATTTTGGGACTACGCCTAGGGAGTAGGAGTACCGGAAAAGACGCGTTAAAACCGGTGCCAACTCTGGAGCACACGTCCTCAGCACAATTGGGGGGATTCCGTCAGACCCAATCGACTTGTGGATGTCCAGGCAGAGGAGTGCTTTGCGAACCCAGCGCTCTGTGAACCGTACCTCCGGCATGGAGCATTCACACCGCGAGATGGTCGGCGGCGTACTCCCCTCGTCATCGAGAGTCGAGTTGGACGCAAAAAAAGAGCCTAGCAGATCAGCTTTTTCCTTTACAGCATGGGCCAATGAGTCGTCCTCCCTGTGCAGAGATGGAAGAGATGGCTGACAGAAATTCCCCTGGACAGCCTTGGCGATGGCGAGAGACCAGAGTGCACGGGTTCAAGAAGAAAGGCCAACTAGTTTCTCGCCAATTCTGCCTATGGGCTCTGACTTTGCCTTGGCAATGACTCTTTTGAAGGACCTGGAGGCGGAATTATACTTCTTTTTAGAGCGCTGGTGTTCAAATCCCCGGACGTTGATGCGTCAGCCCAAGCTTGGTAGCACTCCTGCTCACAGCATGATGCTATTTTACAAGTATAAGTGACAACAGCGCCACCTAACGGGTTCAACAAAATCGTTTGAGTTGTTTTCGAGTTTTAGCGAGACTAACAGCCTGGCCACGGGACATGCGCCGTAGCGAAAATTCGCGCGGCGCGAACGGCGAGGCGTCTAGCGACTAAAACAAATGTATAGAAATGTATGGAGCAAGCCACGCGTAGCGGCGAGTGACGACGCGACCGCCGAAATTTACCGGGCGAATCGCGCGGGCGACTGGCGGCGCGGCGGGCGAATAAACAAATGTATGAATCAGTACTGCAAGCCACGGAGTCGGGCGGCAGACGCGGCGAATAGTATAGGGAACAAAATATTTTAGTTGTTTTCGCCGCGAAAAATGCCGGGCCGACAAAAACAACTTAAAATTCTATCCGCATTGACTTTTATCTCCAATTCTGGTTGAATATTAACAAGAATATAATCGCAGGTTTCGACACTCATTCTGGTATTTACTCGAAATTTTTTTTCTAGATGCATTCTATTTGTTGTGGAATTCTCCATTTATAACCCGATTCCTATTCAAATCATGTACTCCGCAATCTTTTCAAAATATTATGTCTTGAATCAAAAAACAATTACTTTCTAAGCAATATCGAGATAACTTTGATAAAGACATTTCACTATCGGCCTATCTGGTGGCGGCGGCAAACGTGACTTCCCGTGGCCCTCAAATCGCGCCGCGCGAATTGTCGCCCCGCCTGTCGCTTCGCCGTTCGCGCCGCCGTTCTCCGTGGCCAGGCCGTAACGGAGAGCACTTCATTTTTATATAATATAATTATTAAGAAGATATAAGAAGAGAGAAAATAATATACTATTCCGAAGATCCGAATTCGTAAAAATCTAATCTACCAGTTAACAACATAAATTTAAAACAATATATAAAACACATTCGCTAACATTAAGAAATTCGTGTGCGGTCCCCATCTTGGTGTGTATCTGAGTTTGCAGAGCTTTCAGAACTGCGATGTTGTCCTTTTCGCCGCCATCCTCCACATATGAGGTCAGCTGCAAAACTCTGTAATAAAACAAAAACTTTTAAGAATAAAATATGCTTACTTACAAACTAACCATACTAAAATTCGTCTTATAACATGAGTCTAAATGTTTGATGTATTTATTGGTGGTCATGTATTTGTTTACTTATTCAAATAAGCGGATGTATTTATTTTTATGTGTGTAGCTATGTATGTAGCTGTATGTATACACTGATATTAAATTTACAAAGATAAAAAATATAAACTTGAGACATCCCTTAATCATATTTCCTTGCATCATAATATCAGAAAAGAATCAGATCTAAATTATGATGCACACAGCAACATTCATGGATGAAACTTTTAAAATATCAAAATAAGAGATCATAATAGAAGCAAATAAGTAATACCACATTTATGAATCGATTTTCTCTCTCATTTATGTTAACATTAAAGATTTAGGACATGGTGATGGTATTGATAAAATTAGCATTTTAATAACTGTTCAATAGATTAGTAATTACCGAATAATTTCATGGATTTCATCTGCCATCCGTTGCGCCAAGTAGTTTCTGTTTTCTGCAGCTTCCTCCATTCCCTTACCACCTTTAAAAGATTTCAGATTTAGAATTTATCAAGAATTTTCAAGTATAAAAATCTTTATAATATTATTTGACTGCTGATTCATTTTCTTCTTGTTAGCAAATACTTGTTTAGTATTTTAACGTATCTTATATTTTATTTTAAACCATACAAAATTCTTTAACCGATAGAATATGTGCATATATTTCTTAATAGAATATGTGCACATAGTCTTTTTAAACTTGTGTAACAATAGGTCCTATATTTGTGGTATCATGCTATACGATGACAATGTTCTGCCTAGGAAATTTATTTGTGTTTTTAATGTGAGCTGTGTTAGCTCAGGGGCTAAGCAATTATAAATTTCACAGTACGCGAGCAAAAAGGGTTCGATCCCATAAGGCACCAATGACATTGCTAAATGCAATTTTAAGTGCTGATTTACCACGTGCTCGGCGGTGAAGCAAAACATCGCGAGGAAACCGGCATGTCTAAGATATTTAAAAAAAATTAAAAATTAAAAAAAATTATCTGATTTGTTAACACATTAAAGACAGTAAAATACTTGACCACTAACTCTATAATATATTTAAACATTTGAAGAATATAACAAAATGTGCTTATATACAATTCTATGTCATCATCATCATCATCATTACAGCCCTTCACAAGTCCACTGCTGAACATAGGCCTCCCCCAAGGTATGCCACAAAGCACGGTCCTGAGCCACCTGCGTCCATCGACTTCCTGCATGTCTTACCAAGTCGTCACTCCATCTAGTGGGGGCTCGCCCTACACTACGTCTACCTGTACGAGGCTGCCACTCGAGAACCTTTTTTCGCCATCAGTTATCTATTATTGAAACTATATGGCCGGCCCATTGCCACTTCAGCTTACTAATCCGTTGGGATATGTCGGTCATTCTGCAAATGTCCTCATTTCTAAGTTTACAGAGGCTGCACTAAAAGTATCGGGAATGGAATATTTCCACTGTTCCTGTCATATTAAAATCTTTTTAATTGAAAACTCCTTGGTTTTAAAAATCGAATACCATTTATTTATTTAAAAAAAAGATTCTCGGTCTTGTCACAAGGTTTTGTCAAACTTGTTTAGTCGTTGAGAAAATGGAATTGACTCGAGAAAATTCAAGAGCGATGATTTATTATGACTTTCGAAGTGGTTTAACACAAAAACAGTGTGTTGACCGGATGATTTCTGCATTTGGTGATGAAGCCCCATCCAAAACCACAATTTATCGCTGGTTTGCTGAATTTCAACGTGGACGTGTCAAGCTCAGTGATAATACCCGTCAAGGTTGTCCAAAAACTGCTGTCACCCAAGAAAACGTTGATGCTGTGCGTAAGCTGATTGAGGAAGATGGACATGTGGCATACCGCGAAATTCAGGCATTGAGACACTGGCATGAGTCAAATACAAATAATCTTGCATGAACAATTAGGTGTAAAAAAGTTGTTTTCCCGATGGATACCGAATTCGCTCTGTGAAGAGCAAAAAGCGGCTCGCGTTACTTGGTACGTCAGAACTCTCGAAAGATTCCACTCAGGATCCTCAAATGCTGTATACAACATCGTATCAGGTGACGAATCCTGGATATAGTCGTACGAACCCGAAACAAAAAACCAGTCACGAGTTTGGGTGTTCGAAAATGAGTTAAAGCCAACAAAAATTGTTCGTTCAAGGAGTGTTGCAAAAAAAATGGTGGCCACGTTTGTCTCCAAAACCGGCCATGTTTACGACTATTACTCTTGAGGGACAAAGAACGATTAATGCAGAATTGGCCGTTTCTGAACTCCGTAAAGAGAACTGCAACCGCCGCATCATCCTCCATCACGACAATGCGAGTTCTCACACCGCCCACAGAACAAAAGCCTTTTTAGAGCACGAAAACATAGAATTATTAGACCATCCGTTGTACAGCCCCGGCCTAAGCCCTAATCATTTCTATACTTTACCTAAAATAAAGAATAAATTGCGTGGACAGAGATTTTCATCACCTGAAGAAGCTGTGGACGCCTACAAAACGGCCATTTTGGAAACCCCAACTTCCGAATGGAATGGTTGCTTCAATGATTGGTTCCATCGTATGGAAAAATGTGTCAAATTTCGCGAAGAATACTTCGAAAAGCAATAAATAAGTTTTTAAATAGTAATGTTGTGTCACTTCCTTGATTCCCGAAATTTTCAGTGCCGCCCTCGTATTACGCAGAGAAACCCCGAGCAATCCTAGAATTCTATGTATTTACAATATTGCATTTTTAATAATATTTACTACTAATACCCACATAACATTCAAAGACAAATTAAAGGAACACTGATTTCAATTGTGGCCTACCTTCTGTGAGGATATGAATGTAGGTCTTCATGGAGCAAATGAGAACGGGTGCCAACTGCTTAACACTTTCCAGGCAACTGGTCAGAGTCTCCGCGTGTGGTGGATGAGTCAGTTCCGATGCTCTTGCGGCTACCTGTAATATGTTGTCAGAAATAACAAAAATAAAGAAAAGAAGCAACATGTGTAATAACAAATTAACATACTTTTTTTACTAAGATCTATGCCCATCAGTGGAGCCTTAAAAATCCACCGGTGACCTCTCCCGTTTAGAGGGATTGCCTTACCGACCATGTGACCAAACGTGAGCACCTTCGTGCCTCGTTGCCTTCTTGATTGGTTGGAAAAACAACATGTGCCAAAATATCGGTATTAACACCTTAACCGACTGCCTCATTGGTCTAGTGGCCGTAATCGTGATGGCGAATTCCCGGGTTCGAATCCCGGGTTGGACCAAAATCATATTACTGCAAATTTTATTATTGACTTACCTCTCTAGCAGCGCGGGACAGTGCCGGCGAGATATCTCTAAGGAACTGCACGAGATCTTCCATTGTGTCGATGACTTCCGCAACGCCGAGGTAGTCTAGCACCTGGGGAGAAACAAAATTAATTCAAAAAATGCAATTGCCTTTAAAAGGGAGGGTATAAATGTGTAACGAAAAAGTACATAAACGTAAAAAAATGCTTTTACATTTTATATATTTTTAATAAATTACAGAATTAAATCAGTTACAGCATAATTTATCAAAAGGTTATTATTTTAAAGGCTACAAAATATAACAAAAGAAAATAAAACAAATCTGAATGGATGGAAAAATACATGAATATCAATGTGGAAAGCATATAATAATATGATAATAAATATTAAATAACATCACTTACTTTTTTGCATTCTTTAACGATCTTCCGCACTTCTGATTCATCGAAACACAATAGCAGACCCGATGTGCCTTGCAAAATTCCTCGGGAGCCCTCGATCAGCTTTTTTCTGTAATATTACACAGAGAATTATTTTTCTTATCAGAACATAAGTCTACTGCGATTTTTGAAGTGCAAACTTCTTTAGCGGCGTTGTACACTTTTTTGTAATGGGTAAAAAATGTTAAACTCGCGTCAGGACACGTGATCCTGATCGAAAATTCGTAAGACGGATGAAGAGAGAGAGACAGCCGGCGCGGCGTAGGAGAGGAAGTATCTCCCTCTCTTTCTACGGCGCGGCGCCGCCTGCTGTTTCGTTTAGGCGGCGCAGGGCGCTTGCGCGAATCTTCGTGTGTGATAATTAAAGCAATTTGTGCAAAATTATTCCCTAATCATTCCAAAATACGTTAATATTCAAGCATTCACTTCCGCTGGCACTCCCGGAGTACAACCTGTTTTTATCGAATAAGTTTAACAAACAAGCACATAGTCCACCTGACGCTAAGTGGAAGCTGTGGCCCATAGACATCTACATGCGTCCTCGATTAAGAATCAAAACGCAGATGCGTTGTCACTTCCAGTAAAAAGTGCCTCTAATTCTATATTAATATTGAATGCTGGTCATGACCTCTTCCGTTGTAGTGGATTTGCCGAGAGATTTTGTACGAGACGTGAGCGTCTTTGACGCTACTTCCCGATGCTGGTCTGGGTGCTAGAGATACTTAAACTGCCATCTATTGGAAACTATAAGTTTTTATTTTATTTTTTGTTGTAACCACCATAGTTCTATTATTGATTCTGTTCTACCAGGACTCATAACCGCATCAGCGACAAATCCTTTTGTTCATAAATTTAAAAAATACGTTTTTAAACTCGTTACCTGGCTGGTCCGGAATACGGGTCGGCTCGCAACATGTCCGAGGCTTGCTGCAGAAGAGTGGCTGCGCCCTCCACACGCCGCAAAGCCCCCGGCATGTCCTGGCGAAGGATCACATCATCTGAAGACTCTATAGTCTCGTGACCGACCTGAAAATGGTAGATAGTCTTTAGTACATTGTCCTTAACATATTTTTTTAAAGTATAAGGGTGACAAACGAGCACACAGTCCACATGATGGTAAGTGGATGCTGTGTGTGGCACATAGATTTCTCACAGTCCATCTAATGATAAGTTGATGCTGTGGCCCATAGACTTCTTCAAATGAACTATGATGGAATCCTTCGTTTCCACTAAAAAGGGTATCCGTTTCTCTACACTTACCATAGGAAATACAGCAGGATTGAGCTGCTATTTTACGCTGGTATTTTGTGAATGGGTCGGCACGATCGGGAAGGACCACGCTGGTCCTGATTGACCCATTTGTGTTACAACCATAATATAGGTGCAGCATGGCTCTACCATTTTTGATATTCGCCTGGATTTAACTCATATATCAACTTAAGACATAATAAAACCATCTCGTACACACCACATATAAAATTTCCGGACAGGAAGCAGCATAATTATTTAAGCTGTCTTCGCATCAAACAAAAAGCGTTTGATATTGCGATTTACATTTTTTAAGTAATGAAGTATGTTCAGATGCGAAATCCTTTTTATTAGAAGAAAGGGTGTCAAACGTATACATAATTAGAATAGATTAGAATATAATATAAATGTTTTTATTTAATATATATTACATTTAATTATGAAGGCCCAAGATATTCAAGATATTCTATCTTAGTCCTCATTCTTAATAGTGTACTAGCCTTTTTAGCTGTCCGGCTCCTGGTCTCCTGCTCTCGTTTTTCAACTCACAAAGCACAACTGAATAATCATACTGCTATTTTACACCTGTATCCCTCAAGAACAAATGTTAGAATATTTTGGTCAACAGTTTATTTAACTATTTAACAGTTGGGCTGTCTGGTACTTTTAATTATCACCATCGATTACTTAAAAAAAGTGTTAAATTCGCCTAAGAAAGAACTCCAACAATGGGTGCTATTGGTGGAAAACGTTACCTTGACGAGATTATTGACGGCGAGCGACACGGCTTGCACCGGCCGCGCCAGATCCGGCATTGCGTTGCCATCTTCAGCCTCCTCGTGCAGGATCACCAGACGCGAGACCTTAAAACAAAAAGAGGTAAAGATTAACTTTTAGTTATTATATATTTACATACTAGTCTTAGTAATGTTCGCCAACACGCATTGGAGCAACGCGGCAGACACTTCCGTGCCCTAAAACCCTCTCAGAAATGAGGGGAGGCCTGTGCCCAGCAGTGGGACAGCTATAAGCTGTAACTTTATTATGTATTTACTTGTGCAAAATATTAATTTAAAAATAACAGCTTCAGATAGGGAAGGAAGATCCTCCACAATAAGAAGTAAGAATCTGGTAAGACATGCAGGAAGTTGTCAAGCAGGTGATTTAGGACCGTGTTTTGTGGCATTCCTAGTGTGAGACCTATGTTTAATAGTAAACTTGTAAAGGGCTGTAATGGTAATTATGATAATGAATCGCTCATAATTGAATAAAAGCTTGTGAAAGTTACAGTGTAAGACATTAACAAAAAAAAAATACAATCATAAATCACACTCACTGTGTATGTTATAAAGCTTATGGCCTTTTGTGTGCATAAAGCTTTATGTTTACAAATATAAATGTAATAGTTTTTAAGTTAAATGTAAAAATAATGATTATATACGTTATATAAATGCTTGTAGCGGCAGTGTAAGAGAATCAACGATTTAATAAGACAAATTACCACGGAGGGAATTACAACAGATGCACAGCAGCATCTTCTTAATAACAAACACAAAAAAATTAAAATCTGCTGTTGTCAACCTGCTTGCCAACTATGTCAAATATCCTCCCCCCCCCCCCATAGTAAGGTCCAAGGTAAAACCTACGTTCAGCAGAGGACTTAGATAGGCTGTAATAAATTAATTATTTTTTTATTACAACATATTTAGAAACAAATAATAAATGAGAAACAGAGAGGGCTGAATTTTGTGTTCTCGAAAATTTCTGTAATACGTTGTGTTTGTTGTGTTACTTAAACAAGCTTTTTATCAAAAAACCGATAATCCCTATTGCCCAATACTCATCCAAGAACCATCGTCTACACCAGAGTTCCCCAAACTTTTTTGTGTCGTAGACCCCTTGCCATGTTTTTCCGTGTTGGGTAGACCCCCTACTTACCTGATATTGATTTCCTGTAAATTTCTAACTATAGTGAAGTTTAGTGTTAGAAACTTAAAGTAAAAACACATGTTAATTTATACATTTATCAATTGAATTTAAATTAAAACTACTCAAAATAAAATTTTGGATCTGTTATGTAAAATATACGTAACATTAAATAAATATAAAATAAACTATAAATCTTTTATAAATAATGTATATGTTTTGATATTATAAGATAGTATGATGTAAGTATAGTATATTTTCATTTCATGGACCCCCAAATTTTTTTCGCCTACGTAGACCCCTTGCAGGTTGTCATAGACCTCTAGGGGTCGATGTAGACCACTTTGGGAATCACTGGTCTACACTCTACACACTACACAATGACTGTCCCAGAATTGTAAGAGCTTCGATCTCCGTCAACCACAACATCGTACTTACAAGAACTAGCAGCTAGCAAATAGTAATTACATTTTTTTCCGAAATATAAAACCAAAAAATTAAGGTAATAGCGATCCGCCCCGGCTACGCACAGCTTATTTCTGGATTTTGAAAACAGCGCCATCTACCGGGTCCAATTGCGAATCTAAACCATTCTCGAATCAACTTAATCACACACAAAAAACTTCATTAAAATCGATCCAGCAGTTTAGAAAGAGTTCAGTCACATACACACGGACAAAATTAGGTATATAAAGATAAGGACAAGTGGAAACTTATCCACTCTGATGAAGCACTGAAATCGTTTTTAAGAAATTTTACGTGGTAGAGCCATGCTGCAGTTATATTTGTGGTGTATGGTTGTAGCACGAATAGGTCGGCTCGACCGGGGAAGGACCACGCTCTTACAGAATACCAGCGTCAAATAGTAGCTTAATGCTGCTGTGTTTCGTATGGTGAGTGTAGAGAACCGGAGACCCTTTTTACTGGAAACGAGGCTGGAATGACTAAGTCCTCACGGATGACAACGTATCTGCATTTTGGTTGTAATCGAGGATAGATGTAGATGTCTATAGGCCACAGGAACCACTTACCATAAGGTGGACTGTGTGCTCGTTTGTCAACCTTGCTATAAAAAAATTATCAATAGCATGCCTAATAATGTTAGTCCGATCTGCCTACCTACCACGAATAAATTTCTTTTTTTTTAAATTCTTTCCCATCAAATCCACACTGCTGACCAAAAGACTCCATAGGTTGTCTCATACTGGCAATATTTGCCATAGTTGCCATGCCAATTTTGCCAATTTTGAACTGTTATCGGGAAAATGCAACGCATCTCTGTCTCAGTTTCCCTTTCTCAAAACACCCACGGGATGTTAATATGTGATAGTGAATTCTGTTACTTATATAGCTTTCATAAAACTTAGTTTTTGTGCAATATAAAATTGTTTATTATAAAAAAAACACAATAAAAATGTAACTGTTTAATTAAAACATGTACTTAGGTAATTTTCGTATAATTGTGTTGATCCCTATGTTAACTATTAGGAAACGCCTTAAGGGACCTTAAGGCGTTAAGCCTTTCGACATTTTTGTGCAGCTCAGTTTATTTATAAAACTATATTTACGGATTTTATCGCGTTAAATAACTTATTTTAACATATATTTAATTCCTGACGTTTTGGGTGCTTTACAGCACCCATGGTCACAATATAAATTTTTGGTCCTATCTACGCAGATATTATCGATACATTCAAAACTGAAGGTAGCCGAGCTAACTATAACATTGAAACACCAAACATCTCGCCCCCCCCCCCCGCCGGAACCATGGGTGCTGAAACGTAAAGCACCCGAACCGTTCGGAATTAAAAATTAGTTAAAATAAATTATTAAACGCGATAAAATCCGTAAATATAGTGTCATTTAATGTGTAGTGTTCGCGTAAATTTAAGAAATCAGCTAAGTTTAAATAAATAAATGGCATATGACATGAATATGAACCTAAGACGATATTGTGCACGGAATGTAAGATAACTGAATGGGAGGGAAACTGCCTCCTAACATACAGGGTAACCTAGTTTAGGAGACGGGGTATCTATGAATTGTATATTAATTCTGCGTTCAATAAAGAATTATTGTTATTGTGACAGAGAACTTCAAATAAACAAAAGGACATCGGATAAGGACGCATAAATACCTACTATCTAAGGTCACGATATCGTTGGACGTGGCGCATAAACAACTAAAATTAACGACTTGTAACTTGCAGCAACAATTTAGGTCATTACACTCAACAAAACAACGCAATGCTGTTGAAGTCTTTTAAAATTATTATTATTTGTTCAACAAAAATATTACGTTGGTAGGAGGAACATTCCTTCAGTAATTCTTGTTTTACGAAATGAGTGCTCTCCAGTATTCCAGTACAGTTAGACGTCAAGTAATACGTTTAGTAAAAAATTATGTTGCAAACTATATAAGTTAGTAGATTTAGAAAAAAAATGTATATGTACAGTAGACGGTCCACTCGTATGGAGACCCCGACGCTTTAATTTAGGTTCCCTTCCCCTAAATCCGACCCTGTTATCAAGTAAAAAATTAAGGGTCGATTTTTCAATACTCAAATAAAAGTTATCCATCAATAAATTACTGACTGAATATAATAGTGAAACAAATGAACAATTCTATCCACCAGAAGGGTCAGAAAGGCTGGTGCTTCCGAATGCTCGACGATTTCCTGGCGCCATGGCCTCCGTATACCCGGTTCAGGAGAGCCCGGCTAGTGTTCTGATGCGCTCTTACCTGAGAAGAAGGGGGAGGAGTTATTCTCTCCTATGGGGCTGCCATGGGGCGTGCCAACGGATGTGTGGCAAAGCGTTCCCGTGGCTTTGCTAATATGCGGCGACGGTGGAACACCATAAGGTTTTAGTTTGTGCAAGTCCTTTCACTTAAACCAATGCTTTACTTAATTTAATGATCTTTTCTCCCAACGGACAAACGGATAAACATATTGTTACGAGCTTGAGGTTCGTGACAATAAAAATTGCCGATAAAATTACCTAAATTAACACTTTAATTTACTTTACACAATTAAAGTTAAAACACCAATAATTTAAACACACTAATTCACTTAATTCCACTCCGGAGCTTCGCTTGTTTCGCCCAAATCAACACTAACTCCATCGCATCTTGCAGCGCCTATATATTTAAATTAGCAAAGAAATATCCAGAATGTTCAAGTAAACACGCGGAAGGTATCGAGCGTTCGAGTTTCGACTAGGCGCTGTCAGTTGAGCGATTTGTGATGTCATTTTCTCAATGCTCCCCCTCGCTCTCGTTCCTGACACTAGATGGCGCTAGTTGACTTATTCATGCAACACTGCCCCCTCCTAAGACATGCTCGTCCCGAGCATTATCGGTCCCATAATAACGCGCCAAGCGATCCACATGGACGATCTTAGGAGTCCCTCTTGCGCCTTTCTGTATCCGGTAGGTCACATCGTTGATCCTGGTTACAATCCGGTACGGGCCGTCCCATTTAGCTTGAAGCTTAGGAGATTTCCCTTTGCTGCGGACTGGATTGTGCAACCACACAAGTGAACCTTCGTCGAACCCTTTGTTGTTCATTTTGCGGTCATACCGGGTTTTCATCTTTTCAGACATTTGCTGGCCCGATTGTCTGACGTGCTCATAAACGTCATTCATTTTTTTCCGCAAGTCATTTGCATAATCGGTTATACTGCGTGGAGCATCGGGTGGTATCCCGGTGATCAGGTCTGCAGGCAGCCGTAATTCTCTTCCAAAGTTTGCGAAAGCTGGTGTCACTGCTGTACTTTCGTGAACAGAACTTCGATATGACAACAAAAACGGTTGTATGTGCTTGTCCCAATCTCGTTGCCGATTGTCTACAACTTTTGCTAGGTACCTCTCCAATGTCTGATTAAATCGTTCCACCATTCCATCAGATTGCGGGTGATAAGAAGTCGTTCTTGTTTTA